TCGCCTTCGTGCTATGAGTGCAAAATGCAAGGCTGCCTCGGCCTGCACACGCCAGGGGTGGTGCCTGTGCTGAGCGCTCACAGTCCCTCCTTGAACAGCGAGTACTACATCCGCATTGAAGAGGCAGCCTCTGAGGGCAGCGGGGCTGACTTTGATTACACCATGTGTTCCTATAGCCCAGAGTTTGGCCATTCCTCTCAGTGGCAAACCAAAGAAGACCAGTACGACGAGTCGAACAACAGTCCCAGCATCTCCCTCACTATGGAACCTCTTTTGGGCCACTCGGTCCATGCAGACGACCACTGGGAGCCTCCTGGCTATTACTCTTACGGAGAACCGTGGGACAAGGAGGTCCCATTTTATGAGGCCTCCCCAAAGGACAGCAGCGCTGAGCGCTACCTGGTCAAGGAGCCTGGATCCTCTGAGTGGCCCATCCCCACCTTGAAGAAAAGCATCTTTGCAGACCCACTAGGTGTGTCACCACCAGCGACCTTTGCCTACGAGGAGGCCGTGTCAGACTCAGTCGCTCTGGAAATGGGGGAAGAGGAAGAGGCGGAAGAGGAGAACTTGCCCAATAACCGCGGGAGTGCAGAGGGTGAGAAGAACCAATCCCCTTCCTCCTGTCAGTACTGGACCTCCAACACCTCAGCCAATAACAATAGCAGCAGCCACCCTCTGGCCCCCTGCGAGCCGCCTGCCAACGATAGCTGGTGCTACCGGCACATGATCACCTTCCAGGGGCTCATGGCAGAGCCCTTGTGCACAGTGCCACGGGACGAGCCTGTGCTAGGCCTTAGAGACCTGCGTGCTGCCCTGCTCGGTGGGGAGCATGCCGCATCCTCTCAGATGGGCTCCCCCTGTCCAGACACAGAAACACCTACAGAGGAAGAGAGCTCAGGGGAGGTCACCAGTCCAGAGATCAGAGCGGAGGAACAGGTTGATCCCTTGCCTGAGAGTGGCGCAGAAAGCCAACAGCCCGACACTCTGCCGTTGGGGGGAGGAGATTTGACAGTGTCAGCGTCTACCCCAGAAGCTATGAAAAACACAGCTGCTGAGGACACCCTTGTGCCAGGTGAGTTAACAGCTGAGATGACAGGAAACGGAGAAGACTTAGTCCTCGGGGAGGACATTTTGTATGACTGCTCCCCCAAAGTGCCGCAAGAGATCAGCCTGGAAAGTGGCAAGACCATCGCCAGTGAACAGGACAGGACGCCGGACAAGACTGTTTCAAGTGCAAGTTTCCCTGACTTGGATGAGGCCAGTGATGAAGATACAGCTGAGCTTACATCAGGGGTATTCACTGACTTCCCGGTTGATTGTCCTGAGCGGCAGGATGTCACGCCCACCTTCAAGTCCTTGCAGAAGCAGGTCGGGACCCCTGACTCCTTGGAGTCACTGGACATCCCTTCCACCACCAGCTCCTGTGAGGTGTTCAGCCCAACCACGTATGTGCCCTCAAGCCAGCCTAAGGCCTTGGACAGTGGTTATGACACAGAGAACTACGAGTCACCTGAATTTGTCCTTAAGGAACCTCATGAGCCACGAGAACCAGAAACCTTTGCCCAGCTAGGGAAGTCAGTGGATGATCCGGAGGACCAAGCCAAAGAACTCAGCCTCTCCAGTTCTTTCAGTGCTGAGCTGCAAGGTTTGGATGAGAAGAACCCTTACCGTGACTCAGCCTACTTCTCGGATTATGATACTGAGGGGGGGAACCGGGAGGATGGGGAAGGGGACAGCGATGGTTCTGAGGGGCATGAGCCGGACGTCCCCCAGGAACACCTTGATGGACTAGAGAAGGACCTTGATCAAAATGGCAGCATAGCTGAGTCGGAGCTTCCCTGCTTTCCTGAGCCTGATTGCCCAGATGGAAATGGTGTCGGATGCATCTCTCCAACACAGACAGAGGAACAGGGCACGAGGACAGGCCTCGGTATCCCTTTAGCACAAGAGCTGCTGGTGGTGAATGGCGTGGAGGCTGATGCTAGCCCACCCAGCTGCAAGAAGGAGGATGGAACTGTTGCCGTGCCCCAAACACCTGCCCCCATCAGCAGGTCTTTTTCCTTATCCCCTGTGCCCACAGACGTAGAGGTGCCCCCTGCGAGTGGTGATGGAGTGGAGACAGGGGAGGCAGAGCAGGGAAGCCGGGTAAGGGAGGCAAAGCAGCCCGGAGAGGTATTGCAGGAAACTAGCCCTTCCGAGGAGCCCCAGAGCAGTCCTGCGGGGCTCTCACTGAACCTGTCGGTGGTGCCAACCCAGCAGTCCTCTCTCCCCAATGATCTGGAAGAAGAGGAGGAGGACACAGAGGACAGTGATGAGTCAGATGAGGAATTGCGGTGCTATAACATCCAGGACCAAAGTGAGGAGAGCGAGGAGGATTCGCCCACGGTGCCCATCGTGGTGGCGGAGAGTCACAGTGGTCGCAACCTGCGTAGCCTGCTTAAGATGCCTAGCCTGTTGGTGGAGACCTTCTGTGATGACCTGGAACGCAAGAAGAAAGCTGTCTCCTTCACCGAGGACGTCACTGTCTACCTCTTTGACCAGGTGATTTTGGCTAGGGTGGGGCTGCGAGTGGCGAGATCCAAATGATCAGAAGAGTCCTCGCCTAGGAGACAAAGAGACAGACATCGTAAAGGGATAGAAAGTCTCCCAAGAGTGGTTTCTTTTTCCTTGCTGTCCTTCACACACTCTCACCCCTGTCCCACAATATCTGTATGTGTTGCTCTTCTAGTTTTCAGTGGATTATGATGTAAAAACAATTTTATATATTTAAACCAGAAGCCTCCAGGTCCACCAACCATTGTCAAGTAGATAATCTATACCTTTGGAATTAATTAATACAGTTAAAGAAGCACATTATTTATTCATTTATTTATCCATCCATCCATCCATTTGACTTGTATGCCACCCGAACTCTGCAAGAGTCTGTGGGTGGCTGTACACATGTCTCTGTCTACATTCTGAGCCCCGAATACACTTTCAGAACCAGAAGGGAATTAAACCCAGAGTCCTTTCACACAAAAGATAATCCACCCCCAAGCTGAATCCTCTGGACCCGGCTCTCGAGGAAGAGCCAGAAGCAGCTAAGAGCCAGCCAGTCCCCTGATTCCCACTTCTGAGAAGTGTGTCCAGGAGAATATCATGGCCAGAGGTATCAAAGGCAGCTGAGAGATCCAAGAGCACCAACAGGGTGGATCTCCCTCTCCCCCAATTGGCCTTCCTTAAAAGGTCGTTGTGCAGCACCACCAATGGTGCCTCAGTATCTGACCACGGCCTGAATCCAGACTGAAGTGGCTCAAGGCAATTGTCCTCTTCCAGGTACGTCTGGAGCTGCCCTGCCACCTCCAGCTCAATCACCTTGCCCACGAAGGGTGTATTGGTGATAGGACTAAAGTTGTTAAGATTATCCATAGCTAAAGGTGGTTGTTTCACAATGGGCCAGATGATCGCTTCCTTCACCAATGGGGGAAGGCTCCTGTCCTTCAGTGAGGCATTCCTAATATTCATGGCCCAATTGACCACAGTCCCGTTGGCTGCTTTTATTAACCAAGCAAGGGGAGGTAGCAGGGCTGCAGCTAGCCAGCATCCTAGATCCTTCCTCCAATGTTATCGGGTCAGATTGAAACAATCAGGCAGAGGAAGAGGATGCAGCAGCAATCTCCATGTAATCGGCTAAGCTGCTGGCGGAGCCAAGATCAGTCTGGATAGCCTTAGTTTTAGATTTTAAAAAGGCTGCAGATTGGTCACTGGTGAAATCACCAGGACAAGGCCATCACTGACCAGAATTGGCAAGGTTCCACTTGTCAGTTCACAGCCTCACCAATGACCTTGATATTAAAAGCCTGTATAGCTGATCTTAAGGCATTGGCAGACTTCCTAGTCAGAGTCTTCACTGCAGCCTAATTGTGATCTGAATGATACTTCCTCCAATTACTCTCCAGCTGTCTCCTAGCTGATTTCATAGCTTGGAGCTCCCCAGTGAGCAGGACGAGCTTTGAAGCAGAGCGTGCATTTGGGAGCAATCATCTTAACTCCCCCCATACCACCTATCAACCTGGGCTTTGACAGGGGCTCCAGCCAGATCTGCCCAATACCCTCCCAAGGCATCCCAAAACCCATCAGGGTGAAGAAGCCGCTGAGAGTGGACCATTTTATCAGCTTACCCCAACTTTTCTTCATTTCAGTAGCCTTACTTGGGTTAAAAAGAAAATAATTATTTTATTTTTGCTATTGATAAAAAAAATGGGATTCAGAAACCTTTGCAGATCTACTGTGAATCAACAGGAGATCTACTAGAACTTTTTCCTGTCTATTTCTATAAACTGCATAATCACAAATGAACCCTAAGCCCCAGCGTCACATGTTTTAAATGCAGCTCTTAGCTAAGCCTGGGAGGGATCCCGAGGGTTTTTTTTAGCGTCTTGGCTAGAGAGAAGGGGTATCAGCAGAGGTAGGGAAGTGAGGGCCTTATTGTGATCACAGCCTCTGGGAGAAGGAAGGTGCCAGGCAAAGAAGGGAGTGGTGGTGAGGTGGTGTGTGCCAGGAGAGTGACTTGCCCAGGCGTGGAGTGGCAGAGGGTCCTACAACGCAAGGTCATCATTGCAGCCATCCTTGTCCCTTGTGCACAGGAAAGTCCAACGAAGGAACTTGCCGAGCAGCCTTTCCCAGGAGTGACGGAGCCTCCTGCGGGAGTGCCAGCTCTGCAGAAGGACATCAGCGGTACCTCAGGCGCAGCGGAAAGGACAAGTGCACCCAGCAACAACAACAACTCAGAAAGGAGCCTCTCTGACCTGAGTAAGGGTAGGGATTCAGATGGGAAACCCAACCTGCTTTACCCTGTTTCTTGGCCCAGGACTGTATAAATGATGCAGTGGGGCTTCTAGTTCTAAATAGCAAAGGGCAGAACTAAATTCAATTTGGTGAAGTTGCTGGGATGAGCAAAACTCAGCCTTGCAACTTAAGGGCAATTAAGAAAGGAATTGATCATATAATGGAAGGTTGACTGCTATTTCTGTTACCACTCCCTTAGTTATACCTTTGCGGTATTAAATCTCTGAAGAATGTAAAGGCCTTTGCTGAATCAGATCAAGGGTCCTATCTGTGTCCAACCTGGTGCTCTCTCCAGAAGTTATGGGACACAACTTCATGATCGCCAGTGCTGTGCTGCCTGGGGATGTGATGATGACCGTGGGGATTTTTCATTCAGAAGAAACCCTGTAGGGTAGCACCCAATAACTTGGTTCCCCCCCCATTCCCTAATGTTACTTAGAAGCAGAATGCACCTGTTTTCTTTTTTCTCGCTACCTGGAAGTACATACCATGTCTCTTTATCCTCGGGTCGTAGGCATGAGATTCCCTCCAGCCTCTATGAAGGGCTCCAAAAAAGCAGCTCACCTAAAGCTGTTGGCATTTAGGGGAAAATCATGTTCTGTCAAGTCATTTCTGACTTACAGTGATCCTTTTCAGGGCTTTCTAGGTAGAGAGTCATCAGTAATTCACTATTTCCTTCTTTTGCCGGATATCCTGGCACTGTGCAGCTTGCCCAAGACTTACATAGTTTGGCTCTTCTAGGAGGCATATTGCAGAACCAAACTCCCAACCTCTGGCTCTATAGATACCTAACCCTATTTTTGAACTCTTGGTGAAGCTAGAAAGGCAGTTCGTTTTAACTGATATTTTTTAGGGTTCAGTTGATGGGCTATGGAAGTCCTAGGGAAAGTTTGCATATTTTTCTGTTTCCCGTGATGAGGAATACTGTAAATCACAAGCCTCAGACTCTTTCTCTTATTTTGCTTTTCTGACCAATAAAGACATAAATGAGCAAAACCCAAACTGCATGTCTTTGGAAAATGCACACAAACATACTTTGGGTAGTGGGCAGAATGTATACAAAATGCATGCATCAAGAAAATGGTGTGGAAAAAGGTTGGCTTAGTGGGCATCAAGATGTGTGTGAATTTTGATGTGGAAAGAGACAGAAGTCTTGCAACTTGATATGAATAATGGATGGGGAGTAAAAATCAGGTGGGATTCTTACAAAGTGCCACAGATTTGACCCTGTGGTGCTCAAGGGCTCTTTTAGGCCATCAGCAGGAACTGAGACGCCAAACACGGGGTATGATTCAGGCCTCACCCTCATCCTTTTGCCTTTCTTTTCCACACCAGGAGGTGGTTTCGAGTGGGAAGATGACTTCTCGCTTCTGCCAGTGAAACCCACTGTCCTTTCGGCCCTGACTTCATCAGCACCTGAGCCTCCCCTCTCTGGACTGCCAGCTGCCCTCGTGCCAGCGCAGAAGCAAGTGCTGCCCATCCAGTTCTCGCGCTTCACCGTCTCTCCTGCCCCAGCCTCACGGTTCTCCATCACCCATGTCACCGACACAGATGTCCAATCTGTAGGAGGTAAGGCGAATTCGGAAAGCACAGGGGTCCCAGTAGAGAGAGAGTAGTGACCCCAGAAGGGCTCAGAAGCATTCTGTTTTAGAGTCACAGGTAACTTAACAAATGTAACTTGACTCATGATGTGGCCTATATGCCACACAGATCCAGGGACACAGGAGTAATGCTGAAACAACATGGAAAGGAAAATAGTGGAGAGTTCCAGCTTCGGTGAGAGGGAGTGCCATAGTGTTGTGAGTTATGACAGAGGCATCAGACTTTAAGATAATTATGAATTCTGCTGTATTTTTGAGAAATTATTTCAGTGTAGCAAACGCACTTTTCAGAAACTTAAGTAGTGAACATAATGATTGAAAAGGTGGAAAAGAAATAGAAACCTCTTGAAAGAGGCTTGTATGCAGGGAATCTAGAAGCATTTGTTCACGGGAACACTGGAAGCAAGCAGAGGATCCTTGCTCCTCTTTTCTGTCCCCACAGATGAGTGTGCTTGCTTGCTGCGCCCGGAGGAATTGCAAAGTTATGTCTGGTTGATTTGTCTGAATTGCCTGGCAGGGCACTCCAGTTGTTAAAACAGATTGGAACTGGACTGCACAGCTTCCTGAATAGTTCCCAAACAAATGAAACAGCATCCTGGTGTTTGTGTGAAAACACATGAAAATTCCGCTGTTTGCCCATTATGGTTTAGTGCACAGTCTGTGAAAAGAGAGTGAAGGATTCAAGAGAAGGTCATGAATTTATTTAGAAAACAATGTATGAGGAATTCCTCACAGTATCAGCTGTAAGGACAATCCTACACTTCAGCTTCCTTGTGGTGCTGGATGGGCAATTAACATTTGTGTAAAATGCTTCAGCTGTTTCAAAGAGCTTGAAGGTTTTAAGGTTACTCCTGAACAAACCTTGAAAACATTGTTTTGTTTTACTTTCTTTCAGACTACAACTCCCAGAATCTCCAGATAGCTCGTCATAGCTGCTGGTCATGCTGGCTGGGAGAGGGGGGCCCACCTTAGGAGACCAGACTAATGTTCTATGTGCTGAGTTGTAAAAAAAATGATTTAATAGTTGGCTTTTCTGAGAACAAGTTTCCCCTTTCACATCCTTTCTTATTTTTGTGCCCCCCTGTTTTTTGGCTTCAGCTTGTATAGAAACCTAGATGGAATCCCTGAGATATTGACACATCAATCGTAAGTGGTGGCAACAGGGAGAAACTACAAGGTCTGCTCGCTGACTTACACAAGCTAGGGCAAGAATACGAGTGGTACATTATATTTGTTAGCACAGTACTCTTCCTTGGTGATTTGACTTTCTTTGTATACATAGTTCCTTTAGATCTTAGTTCATTCTGAAAGCTCCTTACCCAACCACTCTGGTTTCTTTACATGCCTGCTTCTTTTCTTCCCTGTAGGAATTGTTTGCAATTGTGCCTTTAGTATCTCACCTTTATGAAACTCCCGTCCTTTTCACTCAGTATTTTGTTAAGCTTACTGAGATGAACTTTCCTAACATTTGGAGTACATGTTATATTACTTTCAGTTTTCCCTTTCCTCAGTATAAGAAAGCACAATAGGGCACAATCACTTCCATCTTCCCATTATTTCTACTGTCCATTCATCCCTACTGATAAGGTCAAGATCCAGAACAACCGATTGGCTTGTTGCTTCTTTTCATCTTCTGAAAGTTGACATTTTTTGTAAGGCAACTTGTGAGTTTGTTGAATCTTACAATTTTGACAAAGCTGGACTGCCAATAGATATCTAGGTAGCCAAAGTTTCTGATTAATACCATATTTCTCTACTCTGAATGTTTAGTAATCTGCTCTAGGACAGTGTCATCTGAACTTTCAGTCTGGCTAGGAGGTCTATGGTAGACTTGACACTGCTGTTTCTTTCTTTGCAGTTTTACACATACTTTGCTTCTCCTCCACTCTTCCTGGTCTGTCTGTTCCTTTCCAATAAATTATACCTTTCATTCATCACATTTCAGTCATGTGTCTCATCCTACTATTTAATGATACCATGAGTCTCATCCTACTGTGTAATGTGTGGAACATAATATTTGTCTTCTTGTGTTAAAAGTTCACGCTCATCTTGTTTGTTTCCTATGTTCTGTGCATTAATTTGACATTTGAAATTACCAGTCATTCCCTCCAGCTGCTTTCTTTTTGTCTTTTCCCATCTATTGATGGTCCTTTCCAATATCCCGGTTTCTGGTTTATTGTAGACACTCCTGTCCCCAGTATTTGGTGTCACCCAGTCTTCCTCTACAGATATAAAGACTCTAGCAAACACATGCTTCCCAAATGCTCTAAGGCATAACCCATCATCTGCAAGAAATCCTCATTCATGGAAGCACAAATCATGGTCCAATAAGTCAAATGTTTCCAACAACACTATCTCCTCAACCAGTTCTTTACTTCCATGATTCTTGCCAGGTCTTCCTAGATCACGATTAACAGGAAGGGGTGATGACTCAAACCACCTGTGCCCCAAGACCCTTCACCTTCTTATGCAGAACATTGTAGTCACTTGTAATATGTTGAAGACTAAATTTGCACCATCATTTTTTCCCATATGAATCGCATGGAAGGGATGATGGATGCTCAGTGGACTTGATGAATCTTAACAAGCTCTCCTTTCCTACATCTTTGCACCAGGGAAACAGCACACCTTCCACTTTACTTTGAAACAGGGCATATAAGATTACTGCTCTAAGGAATATTATAAGTTTCCTTTTGGGCAGACAGCTGACTTTACTTTAACATAACCTGGAAATTTAATATTTTCTACTACAACTTCTAGAAGGCCCAAGCCAGCAGGGTCTTATTTGCCGAGATGGTGGGTTTCGGACAACAATTCCCAGATTCTCCCAGCCAGATCTTATTTGCTGAGATGGTCGGTTTTGGACAACAATTCCCAGATTCTCCCAGCCAGGCTTTGGCAGTCAGAGTCATGGTTGTTTAACTGCAGGCTAGAATTTTTTCTGCTTTCCTGTTAACAGTCTTCGCCGCCTTGTTTTTAATGATTTCCTGAACAGGGCTTTGCAGCTGAGGACCAGGCTGACAATTCAGGAAGATTATAAGAGGGGAAGGGATTGCAAGCTGTGTAGGCTGCCTGGCTCCTATTGCTAACTCCCTCTCTTCCATTTTCTAGGCAGCAGCGTAAATGGAGACAGAGAGTGAACTTGGCCACGGGCTTTCTTTCGGACTTCCCAACCTCTCTCTCCCCCACACAGCACTGGTGTCTGCACTGGGGCCAAGGAGAAAGGACCACGGCCCAGAACCTGCGTGAAGCAGAAGAACTCTGCAGGGCCTTTTGCTCTTATATTTTTTAAGAGCCAAGTTTTACTGGACCGATCTTGACAGCTGCTAGGCTGGAACCACCCCACAGGGAGGCGGCTTGGGGTGAGCATGTGTGAGAGGCGAAGGCGGTGTGTGCAGGAGCGTGTATGTGTGTGCGTGTGTGTGCGTGTGTGTACAGGTAGACCAATAGAGATAATAGAACCTATAACATTTAAAAGATAGATCTGTGATCTTGCTAACATTGCTGCCCCTCCACCCAAGCCATTTTGATATCTTTGTCTCCAGCTCATGCCTCTTGACGTTTTGACGCACGTTGGCTTCCCACATTGGGGCGTCGCCTTGAGACACACCACCTCCTGCCTGTTCTGTAAGCTTGCCATGGGTTCTTTCCAAACCCAGTGTGGGACCTGGGGAGAGAGCACACAGCCTTCACACCTTGTGCCATTCAGACAGAATTTACTTGGGCCCCTCAAGGATTAGGATTTATTTCCTGCCTAGTGGCTGCAAGACCTTCTTGCCCCTCATTCAGCATACTGAGTCTGGAGACCTGGTGGAATGGAGGTACCAAACTGGGAAAGAGGGGTGAAGGAACGCAAGGCCAGGGGCATGTAGGGGAGGTGCTCAGTGCTAGGTGGTATGGACTCAGTAGGCATTTCCCCTTTTCACTGTCTGGTTCCCCCCCATATAAACTTTGTTGGTACTGCCAGCCCGTTACTGTCTGCCCTGCTGAAACAATGTTGGATAAAATTGTTCCATTCATGTTGCAACCGTTGATCCAAGACCCTCCCTATCTTGTCCTAGTTACTGATCGGCAGTAAATGTCTCCACCTCCCATTAGGAAGGGGTCCAGTTTAGCAGCACAGGAAAAGCTGTGCCTTAATGGCATCAGGCACCCCATCTTTTTCTCTCCCCCAGCCCGTGGAGAAAGTAATGTTTTCTTCAAGTCTGCCTTTTCAGAGGTGGCCTGGTCAGAAAAGGAAGGGCAAGAAAAATATTCCAGGTAAGGTTGTTTAAATGGTTCACTGGCTGGGAGGGACTGTGTGGTGCTGAAATCTACCTGTGCCACTCCCCTTCCCTTCCTCTCCTCTTCATCACTCCCCCACCATGATATGGTTTAGGTGGAGCTTGTCCAGGATGTATACCATTTCCAGGAGCCAATGTGTAATTATACCAAAACCTTTACAAAATTCCTGCAGAAATGAAAAGAAATCCCAACACCCCTTTGCTGCTCCTGCAGGAATGAATAAATCTGTAGCAAAAGCAGGGCAGACTGCCCCCACCAGTATTTTTGTATAACAGTTTATCCACTGCTCTATCACTTGCCCTAACAGAGTGGCAGATATGTTACTGTTGCCAAAGAGATGCAAAGGGTTAACTTGTATCAAGATGTCCAGTGGGGCAGGGAAAAGATTAAGGATGGAGAGGAAGAAGACGATCCTATTGGTGTTTTTTTAAAAAACAAAATATTATTTTAAAGGCTGAGGATATTTGTGCAATTTGGACTGGGGGTGAAAAAGGAAGGAAGGAAGTCAGAGACATGTTGGACTCGGGGTGGTTGTGGCCATTTGGGGCTATAGACCAAATGCAGGCTTTGAAAATCAAAGAGCAGAGAGATTGGGATGCACGTGGCAGCAGCCAGTAAGGTACTGGAGCCATTCCATTATGCCCTTAGAGGAGGACCTTAACAATACTAGCCTGAACAACTGTAAAACAGCTGGTTTTTATGGTGCATTCACTTCTGTGGCTTTTTATTGTGCATTCACTTTTATTCTTACCATCTCTTGGGATCTGATATTAGTACAAGGTTTGGCAATGAGGCTGATCACTTACTTAGTCTTGTCTCTTCTTGGGTTTTTTTTTTTAAACCACAAGGTACATAATAATAATAATGCACTTTAATTTATATGTATACGCACACAGCACATGCAACTTGCCTATCATATTAACTGGATGGTGCTCTTGGTCTCCAATAGCAATGGTGGCATTATGTCTCTCCTTCCTCTTGTCTCCTTCTGCTGTCACCTCCAATGCTAATTGTATCCAGTTCTTGGAGATCTGCTCAGTAAGCAAAGCAATTCGGAGCCTCAGTGGAATCAACTTTTGAGTAAATATGCTGAGAATGATGCCAGTGGTTCTTAACTCATTGGAGCCAGGATTTCTGGGAGTTGTAGTCCAAGAACATCTGGGGACCCAAAGCTGAGAACCACTGCTGTAGCCAAAATACTGTTGTGTGCATGACGTTCTTTGCTCAGCCTTCATGAGATCTCCTGTCACTTTGCTGAAAAAGTCATTGGACATAGGAAGTTAATTACACTGTGTTCACTGCTATCCTGTGTGTTGGGATTATACAAGCATTTAGTCCTTTCCTCTTTACTTCTAGTCAGGCATTACTGAAGTAGGTAGAGTGGCAAACAGGAGGAGTCAGACGACTATGCTGTCCCCTGCCTCTGTTGTCCGCTACATACACATGGAGGGGCCTTTCAGTAAAAGGAGACCCGTTACACATTTTATGGAAGCTCTTTGCTGTGCTTTTTAACCCTGGAAAAATCATAGTGCCAGAAAACTGGGGAGGAGCTTTCATGGCCAGAAAAACATTACTATCTGCCCCATGTAGAGGGCAATGGAAACAGCAACAGATTGCGGCTTGCATGTTCCCTCTTTGTATGCAGTTTACCCATTTAAAGAAAACATTTTACTAGGACTTCTCCCAAGAAGCATAATATGTTATACTTGTAATCTTGCTGATGCTGTTATACCTTTTAAATAATAATGGGCAGCAGAGGCTTTCCTTGGAGAGCAGTGTATTTGTTTGTGGGTGTACAAGTCGTCCTGCTGCCAGTGGGAAGGCTACGGCGGTTGCCCCCACCTCCTCCCCCCGCACAAGCGTTCCCTGCTTCCACTTCTCCAGTGATGCCTGCGTGAAGAGGGGCTCGCTCAGAAAGAGACGTTTGGGGCTTGTTGAACCCTCTGCAAAGCAGCACACTTTTGCAAATCTCCAGGTAACATGCCACGTTTCTCACTCTGAAGGAGTCCATACAGAGACAGACTGAGCAAGCAGCAAAAGTAAACCTTTTCTTAAGGGGCTGCTGCACGGTTTTAGTTCATCCATTTATCTCCCTTATGGGCCTAATTTGATGTGAATCATACAGGGGTCACTCTGACATGGTCTCATATGTGGGAACCCTGCTGGACATACCAGAACAGAGGTGGAAACAAGTGCTATTTGTGTAAGAGAGTAGGCAGGACAGAAGAATCATCATTAATTAGCCATTCATCTACGCTCGTTTCTTGCTCAGGGATTTTCCAGTGTGAAAATGAGCAGGCAAGCTGGAGACCATTTGGTATCTCCCCTGATTTGGATTGCCCAGGTGCACTCTCTGTTCCAGGCTAATGGTGCCAGCACAGTGCCAAGAAGACAGGCGTACCACCCTCTGTGCTGTTGATCTGTCAAGATTTGGATTGCCCAGGTGCACTCCAGGCATTAGCCCAGGCTAATGGTGCCAGCACAGTCATGCCAAGAAGACAGGTGTACCACCCTCTGTGCTGTTGATCTGTCAAGACATCAGGGATTTGCAGGGGAAGTAATGGCGCTTCTAGATCCACCGTAGAGTTCAGTGTAAATCTCCGACTGTTAGAAGGGAGGCATCTTGTCCAGCAGAAAAATGCTCCTGCTAGAAGCGAGGTGATTTTGCAGTCCTTGCATGTCCCATGTAACTCAGCTTTGCAGGGGTGGGGACCAGCTGCCGTAGAAACAGGTGATAATCTGTGAAGGTGGCATTTTGGGTCTCCCTTCTGGGCAGCAGCAGTTGTTCCCAGTGGCAGAATAAAAGCTGGATGTTTAGTCCGGAATTGCCACTGTTTGCCCCTTCAGTTTTCATCCAAATGTTGTTTTCCTGCTTTGTTCCCCATTTTATTTCAGAGCCCACAAAATCAGACTTTTGTAGGGGGAAGGTACGGAACAGCAGCACATTGCTGTAGGTGTACTTTGGCGCTCTTCCCCCTTTTAAAAGGGAGAGGGGATTTCTAAAGAGGTATCCAGTGATATTTCAACTCTTCATTTTGGCACATTTTCATTAACACTTTTCTTGCCAGTGTCACTTTTATCAGTGTGATTTTTAAAGGAGGCAATTACACTACAATATTAAAATACTGAGGACCATTGAACGCTGTTATGCAGTGGTTCAGACCATGGTTTGCCCCCTCAGTTCCCATGTTGTGTTTCCCCTTTCATCTTGCTTAGCAGGAACCTTACCTGGCCTTACCTCGATTCCCCAAGGATTGAACCTGGGTTCTTGTTTGTGCAAAGCAAAGGCTCTACCACTGACCTTTGGAGCAGCAGCACTTAGTGGAGACGGGAAGGTGGGCAACCCTTTTGGCCCCAATTTTAAAAGCTTAAAACACACCCACCCACCACCCCGGCCATTCCTTGTGACTGCAAGATTCTGTTACTTGTGTGATGGGCTTGGAGAACAAAGTAGGATCATATTGCCAAACACAAAATCCTCTCTAGCATCATGGGAAGAAAAGTGGCATTACTAGCCATCTGTACTGGTGCACTTATTAAAATAACCCTCCCCAACCACTGATGAGTACTACCAGGGCTTTACATGTGTTGCCATTTCCTTGCGATGCAAACAGCCAACAGTAGGACACAGGCTGCAGAATACAGAGCCTTTGTATTTGAAAATAAGTGCTTTTTTTCTAGTTCTTGTATTTTCAGGCTTATCCCTTTAAATAAGGAGGACAATGCCTGGCAAAAACTTTGAAAGGAAAAGAGAGCCCCGGTTCCAAGATTTCCCGTATTTAAAAGGTAGGGTTTTAGTGTCCATTTTCTTGCCATGATGACTAATAGAAACAGAATAAGAGAACTCTTTTCAAAAATTGCTGTAAGTATTCAGGTACTCAGTATGTTTGCTCTAGTAAAAATGCAACAAGATTCACCTACCTTCAAAACATCTAAAACCCTGGTTATTTTTTTTTTCCAAAGTGGACAGATTCCATTTACAGAGGTGCTCTAAGCTTCCATTTCTTCACTTGCTTGTTTTTCCTCAGCCTACTGTTCCAATGTCAGAAACAGATGTTAGGGATAGATCATGACTGAAAGGGAGAAATCCTTAACTAACATAAGCATCTCAGTGTCACAGAAAGGGGGAGTGCCTCTGTGATTATGCTTATTAGCTTGTTGATGGCTTTTTAAAGATTTAGCCTTCAGAGGAATCCAGGGCTTGATTTCACAAACATGGAAAGAGTCATACCTCAGTTACCTTTTTGCGACATTAGTGTAGTTTCAACTGTAATTACAGCCTGTTTCTAAAGTCTCTTTCGGGCCTTAGCCTCAGTTTTTTATATCCATAAAATGGTATTCTGAAAGCCGGGTACAGCTGCACCTGGTGGCAAGCAAGGATTTTAAGGCATAGACTCTCGACTGTGCATAGAGTTGTCTCCCAGTGTTTGTAATTGATGAATTTTTTTCTTCCCACCAGGCAAAACTACTTCCTCACTCACTGAAAAATAGGACCCATACAAAGTAGTGAGGAACTCTTGCGTTTACCACTGCTCTGTCAAGGTATCATGTTTTCCATGTGGTCATCAAGGCTTCTGTGACCAAACTACTTTCTGCAATTAGCAGTAGCAGCAACAAAATAAATTATGCAGTATCTTTTATTTTATTTGCATGATTTATACATGATGTGGAAATTCCCTTGTCTTAGGGTCAAATTAATTTTTTTTGTTTCATTTTTTTCTAAAATGTATGCTATACACACTTCAGACAAAAATGAAAGGGGTATGCATGGTGTATTTATCTAAGTATAGCAAATTGAGCCTCCTTGAATTTTGAGCAGCTGACTCCCAATATGCATCCATCTAGCCTTCCTGTGCAGCAAACATGCCTCAGAATACATTTTTTTAACTGCAAGACACCTGTCCAGATCATTATACTTAAGTGCCTACAGAACAAGGAGATGAAGTCAGCTTTGAAGGAATTTGCCATCACTGTAACTGTAGAGCAAAAGCTCAGAAAAAGGTGGGTGGAAATCAAATGGGACTGGTGATAAAGCTGGGTACATATTCAATTCTGGGACAGATTAATCCAGATCCTATGTCAATGGAACAATTTATCTGTGGATATAAAAAGAAAAATGCATTTGCCCTAACAAATTTCTTTATCTGCAAATAACATGACATGTCTTTGGGGAAAGTGAGTGGTGTTCATTCCAGCAAGCCTGCGTTCACACATATTCTACCATCAAGAGCCATTTGGATATGAGAATCAGAGTTGCAGCAGCCATGGGTAGAATCAGCAGTACTCCCAGCATGCTAATTAGTATAATATTCGAGGCAAAGTGCCAGGATATTTCATAGGAGGAAAGGGAAGTGTTGCACTGCTAAGCAGCATGTGCTGAGTTTTAGTCTCACTGAGCAAACACAACAGGCAATGGCTTTCCTCATGGATTCTATCGAGCTGTTCCCCCATCTCTCTGCCCTTCCGTCTTGACAGCAGGGCATAATGTTTGGTAACTGGATGTGCAAGAGCAGTGGCATCATCATGGGTTGGTCAAATGCTACACACTGGCAGTGATGCATTCCCATTCTCCCATGTGAGATGACATGAGAGTGCACCAGGTGGCCCCAGCTTGCCACTTCAGTCAGTTCCCTTGGGGGAAAGGCAGGGCTTCAGGGATTGGCTGTCGCTAAGTAGTTGCAGCTACTTGCATTCCTTTCAGTACAGTATTGCATTGGAGCAGGAAGTTCATTCAGATGCACGGTCTATAGCACCAAAGGGCTTCTAGCCCCCTAAGAGGCTGCATGAGGACAGCACTAGAGCTGTGCTTTGGTTTATGATTTTCTTTTGGAAGAATGAGAGAGAGAGAGAGAGAGAGAGAGAGAGGCTATTTACAGTGTATATTTTATTGATACGGGTCATAATTGCTGTATTTTTTATCAGTGCTGATTTCCATACAGCTCCCAGCATGTGTGTCAGATACCATTGGTCCAATAATAACAATAAAAAATAAAACATTTTTAAAATAAGATTTTCTCTGCCTGTTCTCATTATACATCTTCATTTTGACACCAGCATATAAATTGAAAGTGTGGAGTATACAAATTGATCTAGGATTCTCAGTAGATTTGAGTGGGGGTGGGCTGACCTGGTGACAAAGGTACTTGTGGTTTAGAGTGGAGGCTGGATGCAAAACCAAAGGCAAACCAGAAGATGCAATAAATATGTACCTAAATTTGTGATGGGAACAAGGTGCCAGCTCCTCATAAGATGGTTGTTTACTTTCATCAGTTATACTCTGGGATTCAGCACAGAGGGGTTGGACTCGATGGCCTTGTTGGCCCCTTCCAAATCCATTATCATATGATTCTATATGTTTTTGTGGATGATGAAGGAATTAAAATGAACTTCTTTTTCAGCGACAGTTAATGCACTAAAGTGTGCATGTTCAGCTTCAGAAACACATATACTTTCCAAGTAAGTCAATGAAGCTCTTCCTCAATACCATCTCGTTGGAGATGACTGAGGAGAAAGCAGACATGAGTCTTGAAGAAGAAGAAAAAACACCTTCCAAATTTGTGGCAAGCTTAAGGCTGTCATTGGAGCAGAAAGAGTGAGATGCTTGCCCTCCCCTGACCTGTTGCTGCTGGGAGGCTCCTCTGCCATTGCTGTGCCATTGCTTTCTCTCCAGAGTTAGGCAGGTCCCCAAAGACTAGCTCTGAGAGGGCACCTCTGGTGGATCATTTCTCAGGTGAAGGAGAGGGCAAGCGGTGGCAGTAGCAATGGTGGTTGGGCTGCCACTGAAGAGGCTGGTTAAAGCGGCAGTCCAAAAGCCACACCTGACATACTGCTCTCTACCAGGTAACATGCAATTCCTGTTGGTTCAGCTCCAGGGCCCTTGAAGACCCTAACTGAGATCATTATTAAGACTGAATGCAAAGGGCAGGTTTGAGTTAGGGGCTTGTTTTCAATTGTAGGCTCTTGCATTGGCTTGGAGACGTCTTCCTGTACCCCTCAATGGTGAAGAACTATCACAGTGTTCACAATTATGTCAGGCACTCTACATCTCTGTTGTTCATCTGCCTCTGCTGTGGAATATAATCTCTTGAATAGTACTTTAATGTTCCCAAACAATGATTTTGTACCAGAAAAGATTAACGGTCCTTTTATTAATCTTCCTAGCGTGAATCCTTTTGTTATTAACTACCCTTTCTAAGGTATCCAACCGTTCTTTAAATGTCCTCTTAAGATCTAATAAAGGAATAAGTAAAAGCTTAAAACACACCCACACACACACCTACAGTATAGGTTCCATAATTCGGTCAAAGGTATGGTAGAACATCCATGATCTCTTCCCTGTCACAGACTAAATGTATTTGGAAGGTTGCAGCTTGTGTCCTCTGGGGCAATCAGTGGGTCCCATGCTAGTATTTCCTATAACACAAAGAACCGAGAACTGTTCCTAAGGACACCAAAAGCTAGAGCAGAACAGGCAAGCCTTGAAGAAGTTCTCAGTGTAGCTCAGCCATGTGTATGAACAGCAAGGTGCGGTGGCTTCTGCAGGCAGAAGAACAGTGAGTGCTAAAATATTGTTTTAATTGGGGAAGTTACTAGCTGGGTGTTCAGTTGCAGCCAACATAAAAACAGCAGGAACCCTGTGTAACTGTCAAGCAACAGCAAGAAGGGTGGGAGCGCACTAATCAAGTCAGGAAGTATTGTCTAAACCAGTGGTTCTTAACCTTTGTTACTCGGATGTTTCTGAACTGCAACTCCCAGAAACCCCAGTCAGGACAGTTGGTGGTGAAGGCTTCTGGGAGTTGCAGTCCAAAACTCCTGAGTAACCCAAGGTTAAGAACCAGTGGACAGCCCCTTGGACAAAGTTCCCAAGTTCGAGCATCCCACGTTCAGCAAGGAGCCAACAGACTCTTTTTTCCCTTCTAGTTGAATACGCTAGTTTTAAAATATACAGTGATTACTTGTAGATTTTAAATAGTCCCATACACTCTCAGCCAAGGCAGAACAGAGCCTGGTAATATTATACAGTACATAAGGGTTTGTCCTGTTTCCCCCAAGTGTGTAATTATTCTAAGGAGGAGGAACATACAGCTGAGTGGGCAGGGAGGATAATGCTAAGACAGCTAGTGATATTTGAAGTGAATATTCACACACATTTGTACAATAAATTTTGAGAACTCCCTGCCCTTTGCCATTTGCTTCTGCCAAGTCCCATCTCCTTCCTAATATTAGACTTTAAAAATCCCACGAAGTTAGATGTTCAGTGGGGCTCCTTTCCCTGCATCACCACCTTCATGTTTGACAGGACACTGTGCATGATGGGTAAGGGCAGAGGTCCGTTCTCACATAAGGGAGCTGTTGGGACCACATGTTACAGCATTCAACACCTATTTTAGAGTTCTTGTCTGAAGGCTCTCAAAACTCTGAATATAACGTGTCCTTATTCTGTCCTTGGGTTGGTTTGTTTTAAAACACTATATCCTTATTGTGAGGCTTACTCATATTGTGTAAATAATTACATGGTAGCAGTGATAGTGTGGAGATTTTGCCACTAATGCTAGATATAGGAACGCGCAAATAATGAACTAACAATACCCGCAGCCCTTTCACAATCGCCACTGCCACTATCTGGCAGGCCTTCATCTGCCTCTTCATCAAAGAATATGGTCTTTATGGATAGCATGATTTGCTGCCATTTCTGCAAAAAGAACCTGGCTGAGAAAAAAGGCTGAAAAGCATCACAGAAGCACGGACAGCATGCTTACCCCTTAAAGAAGACCCACAGAGTTCAAGGAGGTCTAGTACCATGCCCAGGACTACAGCATTACTCATGGTGCACTTTTGCCAAAATGTTGCCACGAAGTAAGAGTCTACTTTGAGGATTATTAACAGCTTGTTTATGACTAAAATACATTTTGTTTCAACAAAAATACAGGTGTTAGAAATCTTGCATGAGCAGTAGTAGTAAAAATTGAAAGAATAATCTATTTCCCTGTGTGACCTTACATCTATCTCTAGGCTATCAAAGGGGTCTGATCTCCCACAAAGCAAGGCTGACATCATTTCTTCAGAATTTCATAAGGCCATGTAAGAATTTAATCATGATGAAGTTGTATGCCATTCTTATTGGAGGGTCAAATGGTATTTTCAAGTTCTTTTATTGACTGCTTTCTTTTTAAATGTGGTTGAGGCCAGGGAGCAAGGACCACCACCAGCATCTAGTGTGGTCCCCACTTTAAGTACAAGCTACGGTAACTGAATTACCCCTTTCATGAACAACAGGGATGAGGGACAGTTGCTTTTCTGAAGATGATCTAACTCAAAAATGCTTGTATCAGAAATGCGGTTTGCTGGTCTGGCCCTGCTACCCACTCATATGTGTACAGAATGGTCAAAATCCTGTTGTTTACTGTAGTAAGCTACATTGGAGTAGGCCCACTGAATCAATGGAACTTACAAAGAAGCTAACTTACCCAACCCCAATTGAATCACTGCTAAGCAATGGGATTTGGGCCAATAAGTTCTCTGGGTAACAACCTAATCCTAACAGAGGTCTTCCCAACGGTACTTAGACAATCCTCGCTGCTACTGTCATCTTCCTCTTCACATACAAGGCGAAACTGCAGATAGCGAAACAATACAAAACTCTAAATAACAGAATATCTGACCTACAGAACACTCCCCACCTCCACCCAATCCCATCTTGGCTGCTACAGCTTCTCAGAATTATTCATAGATAGTGTTGTGCCTATATTTACACAGTATATAGTTGCACGTGGCTGATTAAAGGAGGTTGGTCTCCAACTAAGATAGTTGCACATGGCTGATTAAAGGAGGTTGGTCTCCAACTGGACAGCATATACTGTACATGAAAGCTTTTAATGAATGTTTAAGGCACGTGCAAGAGCACCTTAAAAGAAAAGCAGACTAAAAGACTGAAATGAAAAAAAAATCAGAATACAGCTTTGTTTGGATCACTGACCCAAGACCTTACAAAGAGGACAGACTTGCAGTACCTGGCTGTCTAAGCCAACCACTTTCTGGATCGCGAGGCACAAAAGCACTGCACCAGGCAGGATTGTCCTTTTAAGCAGAATGCCACTGCAACAAAAGCTTGACATGAGGTGAGGATTGTGGGGGAACCCTCTTAGCTTTGTAATTGTTGAGGTTCCTCAGTTGCTTAGTCCATTAGTGAGGTATCCTAGGAAAACAGGGCAGTTTCCCAAGCAACAAATTGTGCTTTCCTGGATCAGGGCAGGCCTTTTTCCCCATTTAAAACATCACAACAATTTTAAATAGTAAAAAATGTGTACACAATGATTAAGCCATCATCAGATATACGACAAAGTCCTCGCCGTGTTACCTCTGCCCCTGCTTCCTTCTCCTCCTTGATGACAGGCAGAATGTGTGTCTGTCAGACAGACTGAATCAGAATTTAATCAGAATTTTCCAAGTAAAATTGAAAAAAAACACACCACCATCTTTTGGACTCCAGCTTTCCCAAGGCTGAGCACCCAGGGCTTATCCAGTAAAGTCCAGCAAAAGACAAAAGGAAACTCATGAATTAGTGAGTAAAGTGAAAAGAGCCTTTTATCCTTATAATGTACTGCTCCAGGTGCAATTCTGTGCAGTACAGGTGTCAGGGTTTCACCAGAGATCCAGAGCTAGGAAGCATCACCATCTTGCAGCACTGGGCAGTGCCAGCACTCTTCTAGACAATCACTTGAGTCCAAAAATGTAGTTTATTGAAAGACGTATGTTCGAAGTGTGCTGATAGAAGATATCCAGGGGAACTTATAAGTGGCACCCCAGGTGGTTTGCCATCTCTATAGTAGCCTTTCTTGGCTCATCATTATCCCACAGAGGTTCAGAACATAGTCTATAAAGAGTACAGTGCTCAGCTGAGCCTGGCTGCTAGTTCTATCTAGCACTCTATTCAAAAGACAGAGATTGCATAGTATTCAAGTTACTTCGTACTTGAAGGGCAAAATATCTCTTCTTTTTCTAAGGATCAAAAAAATAAAATAAGTGTGCCAACATCTGCTTTTCAAGCAGGAGGTGGCAATTCCATCTAACTACAAAAATATAATTGTAGGAAAGACATGCATATGGTAAAAGTACACCATGAAAATGCAACACAGATGAGACAGAAATAAAAGATGCGAGGTACCCGCCGTCGCTCAACATCCCTGGGATCAGCTGATGAGAGGAGCTGAACGGTCATTTGTCACTGTGGGTTTGAGCTGGACGTTGGCAAAAGGATTCCTGCAGGAAGAGAAAATGGCACAGAATTAACGGGAAGAACTTCAGGAAGTAGATGGCCTGCACTGACAGGGACAATGGAAGAACAAGCGACCCACGGATGACAAAAATCTACCAAACTGCATGCTCACTATAGGCTTGGTTTTCCTTGCAACCAAGATGGCTTCAATTTGCACAAAACAATCACATTAAACAATGGTTTGGCTTGGAAGGTATTTTTAACTCCAGCATTTTAATGCCAAATTATTTGAGGAGTTGCCTTCATGATGGTTTCTACTCTTAATTTTAAATAAGTGGAATGTCATTAGGAACAAGGACAGATGGCTGGACATTGCCTTGTCTCATGCAGAAAACAACACACACATCTGTCAAGTGATGATGTATTTTCTTTCGGTTCTGGCAGTGAAGATGTCTCCCAACTGCTGGAGCACACACTATGGTTGCTATGGGAATTCCACCAAAAATGGCCTCTCCCCTCATACACGCAAAGAAACAGACAGAAAGAAGGTTCTTCCCGAGATATATTGCACTGTCGGGAGATTTGTGTTGTGTTCCTCAAGAAAGAAGCTGGTGGAATGCCTTGTAGGTATATCTCATTCTTTTACAAGGACAGTTTCCTCTTTCATTCTATTTTTTTAAAACAATATGTTTCATGCCATATGAGGATCTGACCTTTTCACACACCCCAAAAAAGCATTTCCCAACTCCTTTGCTCCCCTTCTCTTTGTGTCAAGAGTTACTACTCATGTCTGCAAGAATTATGACTTGCTATATCATAGAGAGACCATCACCTTGCCAGCCTGTACAATCTTAGGGGCCAAGATATTATCAACTATATTGGCTCTAGTCTAGTTTGTCAGTGATGCTACAAGTTTTGGTTGGTAGAATTAGGTTTAAAGGGGCGGGGGAATGATGGAATTTCCATGGCAACCATTGCTAGCTCCAGATAGAGATACAGAGGGAGAAAAAACACAAGCCGTAAACTGTCTGTAGAATGAGGCAAACAAAGACAGGTAAGAAACTTGGCTATGCCTACCTTCAAGACTCCAGTATTAAAATCCCACTGATTAAAATACATAAATTAATTTTAGTTGTCTTTCTGTACAAATTCCTTCCCAGAGAATTAAAGAACTTTAAAATATTGGGGAAACGAACATAATTCTACCACAAATACTTGTGATGATCAGGCATGCCTGTATAGCCATAACGGTGTCTTCAATGCACAGGACAGAGATATCACCAAGTCCGGCAGACCCCCAAGGTCTTTAGAAGTGTAAACTGACCAGTGAGAAAAAATGAGGAATCGCACACACAACTGTGTGAGTACTGAGTGTGCTCTGTGATGTTTTCAGGGAGAAGTGCAGAAGGCAGCATCATGGAGGAAGCAATAGCTGATTGATGGGAACCCTGAACAGGAAGCATTGACTGCATCTGGCACAGAAAACCAGGTTAGTGTTTGAAGTGCTTTATTGCCCTTAATACCTGGGACCTGAAGGAATCGCATGGACTGTCTCCCTGCTTCTGAGCTGGGGTTGAGGTACTGGTACTTGATTACAAAACCGTAAAAATGTCGCTACACCTATTTGATGATTTAACAGCCCTTCCTTCCCATGTACCTGGTTCAGATGTTGTACACATTAGGAGATACCCCTCTGCTAGCACTTAAGATCTTGCAGACCAGATGGCATGACAGCTCAAAACATAGTCTTTACTATTTCAGTGCTCAGCCTCTAGAATTGCTATCTATATGAAATAGACAGGCAATGCTTCTGAGTTGCCATTACCTTTTGAAAACTTACTTGCCCCCAAAAGCTCTCCTAGAACAGTGGCTTGTTTATACATCATTTGGAATTTTTTAATGTAAACCACTCATAAATATCAAGCGAGCCAAATATAGTCTTGGTGGTCCAATTTCTTCCATACATTTAAGCTTCCTACAAATTCAGCCCTGCAATGGGAAGCACACTTCTAACGGCCATTCTACTAATTTTATATGTCATTTGTTTCAGACAAGATTAGGCAACTTGTTAACTCTGGTGAATAAAACCAAACCTTCTCATGCAGAGCCAACCTTCATGTAATAGAAGATGTTGCTGGGTGAGGAAGTGGGGTGCTGACCCAATGCACATTGCTACTTAAGGTGGTTAGCAAATGCCACATTGCCTCCAGCCTTTAACCTTCATGGTGGATGAGACCTAAGGGTAGCAAAGTTACTTTTCATACCTCTAGCAAAAAATCCTACCCGAGAGTTAAAACTCAATAGAAATAAATTCATTTTGTTTCCTTTTCATGCACAGGTGATGCTGATCAACACAGAAAAGTAGGGCCAGAACTGGCTTTAGGATTGCATAGTTACTTTCCAGGTCTCCTGAGTTGCTGGGATATGTTCAGAGTATGTTGCTCTTGTATCGCTTCCGCTTTGCCTGAAAAAGCTGTTTTATTTCTATTGACATTGTCTGTGCACATACCAATCACACAGCACTGCTTCCTCCAGAACCTATTTAATGAAAGCCGCTCCTCTCCAAATACTTGTTGTGGACTGACTACACTTGCAGGTGCAGCTGGCTTTATCAGGGAGCCCAACTAAGGTAACAGGCTGGGCATGAGGGAGGCCCTTCCAATCGAGAGCTCCCTGCACCCCTGCTTTTTCTTGGCACATAGGGTTTTGAGAGGGCCTTGCCTTAACGGCTCCTTGGCAAGCAACAGTTTGGAGAGTATGGCTCAGCAATGGAAAATGGTGCATGAAATCTGTCCAGATGTGCTGGGTTTAGGCCATGCAGAACAGATTTTAGAAATACAATGCCTTCTTAAAGATTTTAGAAACACAAAACTCTTCTTAAAGATAAAGTAGGCTGCTATTAAAACATAATCTATGCAGGACATAGCTAATGTGGATCTCTCTCTCGCCTCTCCGACACACACACACACAGCCAATCTGGCTCTTAAGCATTCACTCAAACATATGGCAAAAATCATGTAACAGCATTTTTTTTCTTTCTTCGTCCCTAACAAGCCACTTTGTATATGAAAACTTAATGCCCAGCTCGCCACCACTGTTCCCTTTCACAAGAAGCCAATCCTCTCAGATAACTCAAGGAAGGAAAATAGACCCTTTAGTCGAGCTTCTAGGTCCCAATTCTGCTGTCTGCCACTATCTCCATATTGGTGGCCAATGAAAAAAAGTTTCACTTCTTAGAAGACACCCTACCCCACTCCTGATGAAGCCACCATTAAGAGCTGGAAATAAGGCAACATCTCTGGTAGCTTGGGACCATATTTGTGAACAGTTTTGCCTGCTCCCCTTCCCTTTCCCCAAGGGGAAGGTACCTAGCAATGATGAGAGTCCTGAAGCACGTGTGGCTTGGCCAAAATGAGAGGGGATTGTGTGCAAGGCTTGAAGTGTGCAGACACCTGACCAATCTGAAAGCCGAAACCAGTGCACTCAATGAGAGAGAACCGTATGGGCCAGGAGCCAATGCTGGAGCAGAGGTTGAAATTCATGCTTGGTCAGGAATGGTGTTGGGCAAAAGAATGAGTTCAGTTTCCTAAAAGAAAAAACAGTGGCCCATCTCACAGTGTATGTATGGCTCACAGAAATATAATTTTATCCACTAACAATGTTCCACTGAGCAGCAGATATTTGTGCCTCGGTATAGTGTTTGAGCTTTCTTCAGCCCAGCCCCTTCCTGAGGTCCTGGACCACAATATTCACCACTCTTGTTGACTTGACTTACTGAGAATGGTGAGAGTCGTAGGCCAACATACCTAGACTGGAGATGAAGTATTACTAGCACTGCATTGAAATTAGGTTTTGATACAGATGTAGCACTTGCTTGGCTGTGCTTGTACAAAGATCTCCAAATATTCAGCTGCATTTCCAAGCGGTGCTCAGGTGCCCTGGCTACTTCTGCTTAAGCAGCTGGTGGATGGAAAGTCTTAGAAACCAGAATGGCTGTCAGGAAAAACCCTCTCTTCAGAAGGAATTCCAGAGCAGGAAAGAGAAACCTTCATAGTGTCTTTTGGGCTTGAACACTAGAATAAAAACTCAAGAGGCTGCTTGATATTTTTGTACATCAGTATAACAATGAAGAATGAAACATGTGCCACATTCAATACGAAGTGCACACATACACAGACAACAACTGTACTTCATACATGTTATTTCCCTTGAAATAGATAACGTAATTCTTGGGGGTTCTCAAAAAAAGAGAGGGACCCATGCTGACAAATGTATATATACTTTATTCTGATGCCACCCAGCTGTACTGAAATTACAGCAAGGTACAAAAAAATCTTATATGAATTGTCCAAAACCCTATTCCAAGAAAAATGAGGGGCAAGCTCAGGTCGCTGTGTGGATATGGATGGCAACAGATGGATAGTGCTGCTCAGGTATGGACAGGTATCATGTTTTTTTTTTTTTTGAGTAAGAAAAATGAGGGGCAAGCTCAGGCCGCTGTGTGGATATGGATGGCAACAAATGGTTAGTGCTGCTCAGGTATGGACAGGTATGTTGTTTTTTTTTTTGAGTGCCTCTTCGAAGCCAATGATGATTACTTAAAAGGTCTGATCAGTTCACAGCAGCAAGATTAATTCTCCTATTTTTAAAGCACAGTCAATTAATATTCCCTACTTAATTAAAGCAGAGGCGAAGATCATTTTACTCCCAGGGTGGGGGAAATGCTAAAATAGATTCTTGACACTGGAAGAAACTTAAACAGGGAGGAAGTATTGAAAACTGTTCACACTGTGACTCATCAAGGAATAGCGTACTATTTTTATAAGGGCAAATGAGAGAGGGGTGGGTAACCTGAGAACCTAACAGGAACTCACCAGAGGTCTCTCTCCCGCTTCTGAGCATTAACATAGAGCAGCGAGGGAGGCAGAGAGGGAACCCAATCTATTTTATTACCATAGCCCTTCAGCCCTGCACAGTCATTCTCTGTACTGTATTGCCCTTTTTGTTTAAGCAGAAGTAGATGCCTGGCCAATGCAACCAGGTTCAACGTATCAAACAATGCAGGCAAAAGTCAGATTGTGGAGAAGTTTAGAGACCATTTTTAAATGCACATAGAACCAAACAAACCTTTTCTTCTTATAGATCATATTTTCTTTCAACCGGAACATCCACAAATCCAACTCAGTTATTGAAGGGGTAGAGGTTCAGCCAGTGTAAATAACTCCAGAACAATGTTTTTGACACACATTTACTTTCTACCAAAGGTCTGTATATAGGTTGGCACAGCAATAACAGGAAAAACACCCTCAAAGATGACCAAAAGGATAAGCAGGTGCAAAAAAAAACCCCAGTTGTTTATTCCTTCATCAGAATCATTCAGACTAGCCTTAGGAGTACAACCCTCCTTATGTTTTCAAGGATGTGCCAGCTGACTTGAGTGTTGAGGCAGCAAAGACCATATATCGTTCTGTACACACTACCCACCACATTTCAACACCTATTTCAATCAGGCATCTGCCAGGCTCTTCCTGCCCACTCCATTCATGTATAAACATGCATCAGTTTCAATTTGAGCACATGTGTTCCAGGGAAGAATCCTGGCATATAAGGCAAGAGTGGAAAGAGAAATAATCTGCCCCATTAAAGAAGAAGAAAAGGCAATGACCTGAAGCCCAGTAGATTTAGCAGAAGCTGTACCAAAGCTTCGAACCACCAGTCTGAAAACAAGAGAGCCTTTAGCTTGCCCAGCAGATCTGAAGAGCCCAATCGAAATGTAAAGTCTACATTGCAGACTCATGAGTAATGTAGCAAAAAAAAAAGGGGGGGCGGGGGAAGGAACTAAGTGGACAACGGAGACAGGGATTACGCCAGGAACTGCGTGGTTGTAATAGTGGAGGCAGAGTTGGAAGCATGGGGATCTATTCCAAAGATCAGCAGAGGGAAAGGAATCCAGTTTCCACCAGCCAGGAAACGGCAACGAGGTTCCAACCACGGGACTGAGCTGCAAGCAGGTGAGCTGAACTCTGAACGGACTGATCATCTGTGGAGCATGGAATTCACCAGCCGAGGGGTGTCCACAGCTGTTCATTAACTGTGATTTTTTTCCCCCCATAATCAATTACACCCTCCATCTCCATAAATCTGGTTTCAGATTCACCAGCATTGAAAGAGAGTCAGTCCAGAGCATTCTTAGGAGTGAGGTGTAAGGCAGGGAGAAAGGGGGGATGGCACATTAAAAAACAAAACAAAACAAAAGAACAGTGAACTTACAACTATACAGTCAGGGACACATCTCAAAACCTGGCCACTTCAACATCCGTGCTGTAATGGAAAAATAGAGAGGCTGTTTGTAGACCCGTACTTGGCACGTAGCCATACTCCGTCAGCAATCTGGGGGAACAGCAGTAACTGGCAGTAGGATGCCCACTCGATATATGACATTCAGAGGTTTCTTGACTGGGTTAGAGATGGTCCCAATCCAGGATGTAAGGAACCCAAGGAAGCTGCATTTGCTACCACTGGCATTTTCAACTCACTGCCATCATTAAAAATAAAATGTTCATACTAGGAAAGGAGGCACTGAGGCTCCGGATTCTTTCTGGATTAATCCTCCAAGGTTCTGGATCTGGCCAGTGGCCGAAAAGAGAATGCCACAACTGGACACCCTGGATCTTTAACTTGAAAGCCATTCTCTGAACACATCTTCTTACACAAAACTGGGACAATTTTTGTCAAAACAGTCATCTCCTTTTAATTAGCTTTTAATAACTTTCAAAACTCAGAAGTGTTTGGAAAAAAGAGGATGGATGCCTGAAGTCACGAACCATAAACACCATCACATGGTGATAGCTGCACAAAGACTCCACAGGCCAAAAGCTTAAGGCAACCAGTTTTTCACCGTGCTCATCACATCGGTAACATGCCACGGGGAAAACCAACTATATTTCTGGCTGAGTGTACTGCAGCTTTAATTTCCTCATTAAAGCTCAGGTATAATAACATCATACTAGGCAGGCAACAGTGAAGTCAGTCTGCTGGATATTGAAGGAGATGTCATGTGGTGAAATCATAAACTCTCATAATAATGGGCCAGCTGAATAAGCAAAAGTGAAATCGGTCTGCAACTTTTACAGTAGCAGGATAGGAGAAAGAAATCAAGTAACAAAGGTCTTTCAATATTAAACAATGGGGCTGTATCCAGTAACAAACACTTGGTGATGGCATGATCTGTCATGCGCGAGGCAGTTAGAAATCCTTGAAGAAAATCACCCAAGCCCAACTCAATGGAGGAAATCAAACTTTTATTCAAACATCTCAGTACAGGGCACATTTGCCTTAGGCTGTTTTTTGTTTTGTTTTGTTGCTGTTTAATCTCTCCTTTTTAAAAAAAGAAAGAGCACAACTCTGCAGCAGTTTTACAAACTTCACACAAATTCGGTGTAAGGTTTTGTTTTGCTTTGTTTTCTACATTCATCCTTTTAACCACAGAAAACCCTGGATGTAAAGATATTTTGAGCATAGTTATGACAGCAATGTAAGGAGGATACTTACATATATCTCAAGTATATTATATAAAACAAATAAAATCTTTGCTGTGTGTAGAGATAGAACTTTTATATACACCTTTGATCAAGATAATATTGCCAGCAGCCTCCTTACTCATGTCAAATATTTTACATTTTGTGTTTTTTTTAAAGGTCATGATAGGAATACAGTTTCACACTGCTAGATTTTCAGCTGGAACTGCGCAAGCGTTGAGTGGAGTGACTGACTTCTCAGAATGGAGTGACTAAAGAAGCAGTACCAGAAACCATTAATTCCAATCCTACTGTGTTTGCCACTGAAGTTAATTAAGACACACAAAGAAGACTGACAGCATTTTAGGAAATTAAGTCCTTGAATTCCACTGAAAATCTCTTGTCCACGCCCTCCCCCAACCCATAAAGACAGGCAGTACTGCTGCCCCTCTGCTTCTTCTGAAAAGGAAAAAAGGACCCCCTATCCCCAACCCCTCCAATGTTAGAAAGATAATACAGTAATGTCTTTGGATTGATTTGGCAAACTGCATAATTCACAAAATATTCACCCTTCCTAGCCCTCTTCTCCTTAGCGCCCAGAGTACTAACTGTGAGGTAACAATACCTTCTTACAATGTGCATAAATGTAACAAAACATTTTAGAAATGGATACTGGGTGAATATTCACTTTACCTGGCTGGGTTCCATTCAAGTGTCCAACACTCACAGAGAGGACCAGCCATGAATCTCTACCACCAGCCAACCCCCCCCCGCCAAACCCGAACATTATCCACTTTCCTTCAAGTGTTCCCTGAAGTACAACCGAAGGTTGTCACACTACCTAGCAAGTCTACGCACCTTCCCTTTTGACACGGAAAACTGGCATCATGGTAACATTCAAAGAAGGATAGTTGAAATAACAGTACGTGCACCATAGGCCATGCATATCTGTCTCTGGATTTTCGTTTTAAAGGAAAATTAAAAGTCTCCATTTATTTTGCTATTAATGTGCAACTCACATTAAAGCCTCAGAAAAGGGATAGTGCACTTTTTAAAAAAAAACCATTTACAAAGTACAGCGAAAGAGAATGATGCAGGATCTCTGTCTGGTTTAGTTCAAATGTAAACTGCATCGAGGTGGCGGCAGCTGTGAGAACTCATGATCCTTGCTTGGATAACATTCTGCTTAAACAAGGATGTTTAACAAATGCTGGAGAGTGGGGACGTAGCAGCACCATGGGTTCGTTCATGAAAAATCGTAAGAGTTAGAAGTTGGAGGGATTTTTTTAAAGAAAGGGAAGGAAAATATGCAGAGAGAAAGAAGAAAGAGACAGAAGGGGGATAGAGAAGCAGAAAATTCTTCCAAACAGCAGCTGCCATTTCTAGTCAAGGTTCCTCCTTTCACACTGTAGATACCAAAGTGCCACTGCCACTGTGAAACAGAGAGAGAGAGAGAGAGAAAGAATAGAATACTGCCAGCCTGCACCTCAGCACAGAAAAAAGAGAAAAGGGAAAGCACTGATAGACAACAGTAACACTTCTAAAAGGCAAAAGAGCCTTCCAACTCTTTGATTTGGAAGATGAGCAAGGGGTAGAGAAGGGCACAGGAAGAACAAGTAGAGGGAGAGGTTGCAAGAGCATCCTCTGTATTTTTGAACACAGGCACAGATCCCAAGGGCAGCTCCTCCTCCTCCTCCACTACCACCACCAGCAGCAGCAGCAGCCACGCCACACAAAGTGGTCACAATACTGTGAGAAATGCAGAGAAACAACAGGTTACCCACCTGTAATTGTAGTTCTTCAAGTGGGCCTCTGTGATTCACACCCTGGGTGATTCGCACCTGCGTCAAGCCTCATTCTAGAGCTTCTGCGGTAGCAATAAACACGGTAGAATATGCCCCTCCCCACCTGTATAAGTGCCTTGGCGCCAAGCGTCCCCCCCTTTCAGTTATGTCAGCCACCGCTTAAGAGTAAGCAAACAATAGCGTGACAGAGGGGAGGATGGGCAGGATGTGTCAATCACAGAGGTCCACTCGAAGAACTAGAATTACAGGTGGGCCTGTCATTCTTCTTTGTGGCCTCTGTGAAAGCCTGGTAGACAGGCCCTACCAGGGGAAGCCCTACCCTGGTAGAGCTTGTCTACCAGCCCTGGAAAGCCTGCGTCGGCGGCACGGAAACCCTGACCTGGCAGTGGATGGCGGTGGAGAAAGGCAGTGATTGGGGCAAGCCCCAGGAAAGCCTCTCATGGTGGCGGAGAAGCCACGCAGTGGAGGAGAAAGGTGGCGCTTGTGGTGAACCCTGGGAAAGCCTGAGGCAGCGGCGCTGGAAGGCTGAGCCCAGCTGGGATGGTCCGGCAGCTCGCCTCCAGCGGCAGTAGCAGCAGCGGTGCAAGTCCGAGAGGCTGAGCCTCCCTTTTCCTAACCGTTGGGGCAAAGAGCTACAAAGAAGCAGCCTCTTCGCCACCAACGGTTTGAATTTCCCACCCTTTTTCCCTTGCCTTTTTCGTTCATATCTTGAAGCTCCAGCTGCAAGTAGAAGCAAAATTTTGCAGCTGGAGCTGTTTGTAAATTGGATCGTTCGTAGGCAGAGACGCTCTTAAGTAGAGGTTCCACTGTATATCGTCAGTTTCAGCATTAAAAAGACCTCCTCCATTGAAGGGGAGATCTTCGATACGTGCCCGAGCATCTTTGGCAAAGCGGGCCGTTCTGAGCCAGGAAAAATGGCAAAGGGCTACTGAAATGGCCATGAACTTGGTTGTAGTGTCTACAGTGTGGCGGGGGGAAAGCATCTGTTGTTTAACAATGGAGAGACCTTCTTGTTGGAAGGTTGGAGCTAGTATCTTTTTATCCTCTGGCAGGGATTCAATAAAGGTGGACATGTTGTCCCAGAGGAAGCGCTGGTAAGCTCCCATGGCTCCTTGATAATTAGCGACTCGCATGGTGAAGGTTGCGGAAGAGTAAAGCCATCTACCCATGGAGTCTATTCGTCGACTGTCCTTATTTGGTGGTATGAGAGATTATCAATGTTGAGATCTCAATTGAGAGGCTTCGACAAATATAGAATTTAGAGCTTGTTGTTTTTGGAGGAAAATGGCTCCTGGGTCATGCATTCTATAGAGATTATCAATCCACTTAGACATGGTATGGGAGGAAGCTGGTTTTCTCTAGGATCTCTGCACAGTACTAAGGAGAGATGGCAACGTTGATATGTGCACCGGAGTGGTTGTATTTTTAGAGATCGGATCATATAGATCACTGGTTCTTAAACTTGGCTTTCTCAGGAGTTTTGGACTGCAACTCCCAGAAGCCTTCACCACCAGCTGTGCTGACTGGGGTTTCTGGGAGTTGCAGTTCAAAAGCATCTGAGTAACAAAGGTTAAGAACCACTGATATAGATGATTGGCTGGTTCTGTCGATGGTCGGTGGACTTGCAGATCAAGGGATTTAGCCATGTGAATCATAAGTTGGGCATAGGTCTGGAAATCCTCTGCTGGTGATGGCAGGTCAGTATCTACAGTGTCCGACTCTGGAGAGGTAAGTAACACCGATGGAGTCTGTGGCCAAGATCCATGTCAGAGCCATCGAGGTCGAATCTGGAGTCAACGGACTGTTGATCGACTTTGGTGTTGAGAGGCCGGTTTCGTAGTATTGTCAGTTATGAGTCAGAAAAGATGGAGGCGGCATGTCCATGGACATCTGAGGATTGTCGACACTGAAAGATGGTGGTTGAGGATCGATGGACCTCGATTGGTAGGGATGGACCTCAGTGTTGAGCTCAGTGTCATAACGATGCTGGGGTCGATGACTTGGATTTACCCGAAGACAAGAGCTGTGTTGATGTAATGGAATGGAACGTGTGTCCATGGACCAGGATGGATATCGAGGACCGTCGATATTGGATCCTGTGTCTCTGTGATGTCAAAACAGAGGTTGCTGATGTGATGGCATAGCAGCAGAATAAATGGACGCTGGCGATGCTGAGCATGAAGAGTGATTTCCGTCATCTATTGTAGTAGGAAAGTATTGGGAGGCTGGGGCTGCAAAAGCCACATGTGTGGATGAAATCTGCTCAACCGTCCAAGGGTTTTTTTTATAACTAAGAGGGGAGCAGGTTGAGGTATAACCACCTCTCGGTGATGTGGCCACTTTGACACTGATGGTTGTCAAGAGGTAGGCTGACTACTAGATGGTATTATCGAACCGGGTAAAACACCTGGTCGACTAGTTAGTTTGTTGAGAAGAGCACTGGTCGGGGCAAATGGCAACCCGATCCACATGCTGAACATGGGTTTGAACCACACATCATGAAGCGAGCTGTTGAGATTGTTGATATCGACAGTTCTGGTTAGGGATCCGAGGGCACTGAATATGGAACGGTGTCAAGCTGTTCGGGATGGGAATTCTCGGGCGATGGAATAACCGAAGGATTGCTGGAAGGAATGGAAGGTTGTGAACTGGGAGGAGAGGATGTTAGTCAGTTGACTCTGTCATCCCATTCTGGAGACTGAGAACAGGGCTAATGGGTCGGAGGTCTGTCATCATCTGAGGGAGATCCAACTGAAATTGATTCAGAGAGTTGTGGTTGTAGTGGGATGTCTTTAGGCTTAGACTGTTTAGCTCGTTTAGGAGCAACAGGCTCTGGAGCTGGAGCAGCTTCAGTAGGTCTCTGACCTTTAGAGGTTGTTTTTGAAGTCGAGGACTTTGGTATGGAGAGTTTCAATTTGTGCATCTTCGAGGTCTCAGACGAGCAGATGGAGAATCAGAATGAGCTGGTGTAGCCAATAGACATTGTTTCTGTGATTCAGTAACGGTTTTTTCCATTACTTTGGTTTCGGAAGTGGCCCTACGGGGAGGTTGGGCCATTTGAACTGGTTGTAAGGAATGTTCCCAAAGTCAGAGTTTTAGCCTCGAGAGGCGAGATCGAAGTACTCTGCACTTAAATTTTTTGCAATGGTTACAGGAGGAAGTTTCATGTTGTTCTCCCAAACAGAAAAGGCACTTAGCGTGTCCGTCGGAAAGTGGGCTCTTATTATCATAGACCATGCAGTGCTTAAACAGGCCCAAAGGGGCCATGAATGGGGGGAAATAGGTGAGGAGAAAAACTGATTATTGAAGGGGGGGTGCTGTGAGGGGAAAGGAAAAATCTCTGATGATAAAGAGTTTGATCTAATAGTTTAAAAGAAAAAAGATTGATAACAGGAAAGAATTGAGAATAAGCTCTCTTTCTCTTTTACTCACAGAAGCAGAATTATGAGGATCTCAACGTGATGGTTGAAAGAAACTGAAAGGGGATGTTTGGCGCCAAGGTACTTATACGGGTGGGGAGGGGCACATACTAATGTGTTTTTTGCTACCGCAGAAGCTCTAGATTCTTCCGATGAGGCTCTGCGCAGGTGCAAATCACCCAGGGTGGGATTCACAGAGGCCATGAAGAAGAACCCATCTGCCTTCAGTTCCCTGTTCTGTGACATTCTGGCTTGTTCTGATAAAAATAAACTGCTTATTCATGTATTGCTTTTATGATGTTCCTCTACTGGAAAGTTCCTGCCTTGAGAGCAGCATTTTCTGTGTTAAGCCTGGGACTCAGATCGAGCCTTTCCCAGTCCACCAAACTACAACTGCAGTTCCATCCTCCCACTCTCTCCTTCTCTCACAGGCCTAAATGCTCCCCACAAACTAGGGAAGTTCTCAAAGCACTGTTTTTCCATGGGGAAAGTGTGGTTTAACAATCGGGGAAATTTCCTGTCACCAAATGTTGCAAGAGAAGGAAAGGAGGAGAGAGTGGGAAACGCTTGAAATCACCCCACAATTCCTGCTTCAACAATCCTAGTTTGCTGGACTGGGGAATGTCACACCTGAACCAAGGTCTAGGTCCTCTCGCTACAGAACTACAAGTGTGCCACAGAAGCCAAGCGCACTGCAAATGATCCTCAGGCATGTTCCTGGATGCGGTTCCATTCATTCAAAATCAATGGTCTGGGCAACCAGGTCTGTTTCACCCTACCACTGCCCTGAGTGAGCTGCATGGCGCAATCTGTGGCACACCCAACATTTGCCTGTCACTAGACACTGCAGTTGAAATGACAAACTCTCATTCAGGGAAGCCTACGTACTAACTTCAGTGAGGAACATCTAAGCCAGGACAGGCAACCTAATGTGGCTGATGGAGACCTTAGCCTAAAGTATCTGGAAACCACCAGCCCTCTGGATATTTTGGAGCACAAGTTCCACAATTCCTTACTAGCAACCAACTTTTTTTGTGGCTGATGGAGGCCTTAGCCTAAAGTATCTGGAAACCACCAGTATGTATGCGCTGGGCTGCACTTTATTACTTTAGCATGTTTTGTCCTTGTGAATGTTCTGGCTTAAGTCCACTGCATCAAGACAGAAATAATCTGCTCATGCTTCACATCAGAAGGCAGGGGGCTCTTTTTGAGTCCTAGAAAACAACTCCCAGTGTGCTTCAAAGACTGTATGGGCAGGAGTCAGTTGTGTGCCATCTCCTACCCAAAGATACTGCCACTGCCACTTGTCTTATAGATTCATATTTTTAATATTGACAATGGGTTTGAAAATGTAATTCCTTACCTGCTTGAGGGTCTTGCCCCATAGTCATCCAGTCCCTGTGGATGAGAAAGGGGGGGGGAGCAAGGATGTCAGTGATCAGCAGACACTACATTTCCAAAAGATGATAATGCTATAAAATAACTGCATTAACTACAGCATGTTTCAGACTCATGGTTAAAGCATTTGGCCTCCAAAGGGATGAGCTACTGAAACTTTATGGGCATCAGTACATGGCAAAACATTTTATTCTCTTCACCCATGTGTAATTTTGGAGAACACAGATACAGAACCAGATCATAAAAACTGGGATCTGTCATTTGATTCTGCCTCGGGACAGAACATGTCTCAAACTTAAAGACAGACAGTGCAGGATGCTGAAAGGTTGCTGTATAAAATGCTAAACATGCTGCACAAATACCCTGTGGAAAAAAGCCACTTAAGCACATTGCAATTTATGCTGGAAGCACAGGCAGAACGTGCATCCTCCATCTCTTCTGAGCATTATTTTCTCTGCTAGGAAATAAGACGCCAAAGAGATGGCTCATAGCATCAGTGGAACAGATGAAGCGGGACCATCTGAGTAAAGAGAAAAGCACCTCGTCTGCTTTGTCTCCATGCTCTGAAGTCTATAGAGGAAGAAAGGAAAACTGCAAATGCTTATTTTTCCTGCCTGTATGGGTGAGTGGGTCAGTGAAGTCAACTCATAAGCTGGGCTGTGCATATTTCGAAGTTATACGATCAGGAACCAGGGAGCTGCCATCTTGGTGGTGGTCTTTGCTACAAGGAGGGAAAGGTTTCTTCCATTCTGAACAAACACACAGTCTTGCTCAGCTTCTGGAGAGGAAACTTTTTGGCACAGCTTGCTGTAGTAAAGCCAAATACAGCCAGCCCAGAACTGTGAACAGATCCTGGAGCTATAATTTAATCACTCTCCCCTGACCCTTGCTAATAAATATCACTTATTCTAGACCAAAAATTACAAGGTTTCAGGAACTGCTTTTAAGCTGCTCAAGGCAGACCACCTAAAACATAAATACTGTGCCCATGGCCAACTACATTTAAACTTTATAGTCAGCTCTTAGCCTGAACCCCAAGTTTCACTAAGGATTAGTCAAGGAACCCATCTGCAATTTTAAGTGGCCCTCAAGTATATGTGACTAGGAAAAAAAAGCTTTCCAAGTTGAAGTGTAAGTCTTGTACCTTAGGTCCATTCATTTAAGATATCTAACACTTCATCTATGATTATTCTCTAAGTTCATCCATTCACAACAAACCTTCAGATAAACCTGTTAGTTCTGACAACTAGCTGAGGAGTGAGTGGACTAAGGTGTTGCTCTGTTCTGGGCCCCTTAAACAGAGAAAGCCTCAAAAACTTTGGCTACCTTATAACCAAATATTGTCCTTCTATTCCAACCTTAAGATACTTTAGTCTTTCCCCAATTTCCCACATTTGATTCAGTATTTGTACATGATTGTTCCAACAAAGTGGAGCGCAAAGTGGTGCACGACAGTAATAATGCCACTTACAGAGGATTCTGCTGCACATGATGATCCTTAATAATATATTTATTTTACACTAATAATGTATACTCTCCAATATACAGTATATGCTGGGTTTCTTTTCTCTGCAGCCATCAACCCTTCAACATTTTACTAGTTTTAAACACCGGATCTAGCGTGTCACTGCGGACACTCTTCCCAGTTCTTCACTTCCCATTTCTGAGACCTATAAATCTAAGAGGGTGAAAAATAAGCTTTGTTGACCTGCAAGCAACTTCCTGGTGGAAGACACTCATAGAACAGCCCAATGTTACCAGTTGGGTATTTACACTGCTGTTTTACTGCCACTCTTTGTGCCTTACCCATCGCTCACTGGCCAATTGGTTGAAGGCTTTTCCCCCCTCCATTGTTGCTTTTGCCTCTCCTTCTGTCTTAATTTTTCTAAAGGAGCAATTTAACTCAGTGCCTCCTTTGGAAACAAGAAAATGAGAAGGAGAGAAGGGCAAGAGTCCATAGGTTGGATAAGCCTCAAAGATATCTTGGGCAGAAAACAGACCCCAGAAATCCCAATGGAAACATTGTGTTCTTGGGACTTACGGCTGTTGACCTAGGGTAAGGCTGGTAGGAGGCAGGGAGTGGTTGGCAGAGGCCGCTGGAATATTCATTAATTGCACAGCCGTAGGGCATAAGGTACTCCTATAAATAATGAACATAAGCACCTGTTGGCAAGTAAGCCTCACCTGCTTGTAAAAAGACCTATGTTAGAAAACAGACACTTGGAGAATGTTCACTTCAGCAGTGCCGCAACCAGGACGCCTTTTAGCAAAACGACCTCCCATTCACCCAAGGTGCAGACACAGCTCTGTGCTTTGGGCCCAGCTCTGCTTCTGCTCTTTGGCTACAGAAAACAAGCGCAACTTCATTTTCTGCAGGTGTGGCATATGCAAGAACCTAACAGCCTGCCACAAAAGGACGCTGGGGTAATTGCTACATCAAACGGATGCTTCACTGCTTTTCCCTTCCTTGTGTTCTACTTTGCAAAGACTTCTCAACAACTTCTATGCAATGGACAATCTCAGTTGCAGTAGTGTTGTCACCGACCAGCACGTTTGGGGGAAAACACAAGTGCACATACCCCCCCTGCCCACACACTCCCTACACCCTTGTGGCCCAGTTGTTAAACTGCGGTACTAGAGTGAAGACTCTGCTCATGGCTTGAGTTCAATCCCAGGCTCAGGTAGAACAGCTGAAGGTTGATTCAATCTTCCATCCTTCCAAGGTCAGTAAATTGAGTACCCAGCTTGCTTGTGTGTGGGGGGAGGGGAGGGGGCAGCGATGTGTAGCCTATATAATTAAAAATTGTAAACCACTCAGAGATTCCTTTGAGCACTGTGAGGCTGTATATAAGCAGCACACTTTGCTTTGCTTTTGCTTTACCCAAAGCTCAAGGAAGGCAGTGAAAGATCTCTCTGATGCTACAGTCAGCTCAACCTCCTTTCCTGGAAGGACTCAGAAATCTTGTTGCTTACAGCCCAGTGAACATTCCATAAACACAAAAATGATCTGCCTCCCAAGTCTGTAGATTCCCACCCCAAAATACCCCACAGGAAAGAGTAACAAACTCCAGACTGATACTGCTATTGCTGCTTAACTGAAAAGAGAACCTGGCACTCTATTTGTCCTGTTTTTACTGCCTGGGTGAGCCCAGGTTCGGTGAGCCCAATGCGAGTCCCAGTCATAAAAATGCTTTGCAGGAGGAGATCATCCAGCTAGAAGCCTCTTGGGTAGGTTGATGGACCTCTTCTGTAGGTCTAGCCAGTAAGAACTCTGGAAAGTAAGTGCAAGGCCAGGTTGGTGCTCACACTTAACCCGGTGACAGTGGCCATGCTGAAATGGCTCTCAGTCCTCCCAGCCCATATGCGAGCTTTGTTTAAACCACCTGGCTTCTGCCAATACAGATTTTTTTGAAAAAAACAAAATAAGCAACAACTCACCAGAAAGACAATATAAACCATCAGCAGCGGCACAACTGCTTTCCATCTTCTGAAAAGTTCATATTCAGTCACAGCCCTATTCAGATATTCCTATCAGGGAATATGCATGTTGTGTCCGGGAGGGCTCCAGCCTCACATTACTCATTCTCTGGTTTTGTCACTCAGAATGCACAGAGGGCAATGAGTCTGAACAGGAGGAACTCCATCAAGCAGGGTTCCAATTCATGGGGAGAGGCTTCGTGGATTGTGGAGTCTCTCCTGTTCAGACCTATCTCCCTTCATGGGTTTAGGGAAAGGGGAGTGACGACAGAGGAGGAGAGGTTAAAGAGGGGCCTCCCAAAAGACATGGTGAGTACTCTCTGATATGAACACCTGTATAGGGCAACAGCGTCAGGTAACCCCAGAACCTATGCCTGGCAGACACTCAATCACAGACAACTGAGATGGGCTTCAGTCAAAGTGGAGAGCATCTTACAGGACACAGCCAACAACATTCCTCACCTGGGCAAAAGCTGGCACTGCCACGCTGTATGGTCTCTGTTTGAAAGTGCTGACATTCTGTGACTGGAAAGCTCGAGACGACATGCTGTAATCTGGAGGAGGGATGTCGTCTTTGTCCAGCAGGTTACCTGTACTACTGCTTTTCCCTTGGCTAAATAAATAAGTACATAAATTCACTGAATTAGTATTCCCCCATCTTGCACCACTCCTACTCTGCCATTAAAGAACAAGGCCCTCACATCTGCAGCATGGAGTGTCTCAGTTCCTCCAAGGGAACTGGCCCAGATCTTCTTGTGCCCAGGATTTATAATTATGCAACACCCTGATGGGACCAACTTCCAAGAAACCTAACTCAAAATCATCTCACATGTCAAACAAAACTGACTTCTCATCTTCCAAATCAGGTCTTCTCTAAAAGAAAGTTGCCCTGCAATAAATCACTTTGTATCCTTTTAAATCCATCTTTTAAAGCCAATTTATTAATTTCATTAATTAATGTTTAATTATTGTATTGGGAAATAAAATGTGAAATGAATTGCGTTGTAATTACTGTACCGTGAAACAAACCATGAAATGAATTGTGTTATTAGAAAAATCAATACAAATGAATTTCTTTTGAAAAAATCCTGAAAGAATTTATTCCATCAATAGTATTTAGCTTGGGTTGCACAGCCCCAAATATTTTACAATGAAGCCTGCAAGACTGGTTTGACAAACCTGAAGCAAGTACAGTAAGTTATTGACAAAAGATGAGCCAGAAGAGGGCAATGCAGAACTACTTCCGCCTTAGAGAAGTTGGGTCTCATCTCTATAAACAGATGGGTCATTAAAATATCACATATTTGTGACTAAACAACAAGAAATTTGTGTGGGAGCCAGCCTTCAATGTAACCTCACCTCATATGTAACCTGTCAGTCCCATCACTGTCCAGCACACGTGTGTAGGAGAAAGGAAACCAGCCTCTCCTAAAAAAAAAAAAAAAAGATATTTTAAAAAGAGAAAACGTTTCAAGTTTTAGTCTCTTGGAAAAGACTTTGGTGAAGTGCTTTTAAACCTGTTAGAATTACAGCAATGGTTAACTCATCTCTCATTCCATTTTGCTCAAATTTCAGCTCATATTATTTTGCATATACTTCAAATTCTGACCTATATTATCAAAATGAATAATTTTTGTATATGGTCGCTCCATATTTTTTAGGATTTTCTTGCTCACTTATCTAAGTACAGTGGTGCCTCGCTTAACGAACGCCCCGGTTAATGACGAAATAGCATAGTGATTTGGTTTTTGCGATTGCAAAAGTGCATTGCAATGTTTTAAATGGGGAAAAAATCGCTCTGCGATGATCGGTAAGCTGTTTCGCTTACCGATTTTCGCATAGCGGTGTTTTCCCAACAGCTGATCGGCGGTTCCAAAATGGCCACCGGGTAAAAAACATGGCCGCCCCCTGTGTTTCGGGACAGATTCCTCACATACCGGGCAATGAAAATGGCCGCCGTATGGAGGATTTTCGCTTAAAGGTAAGTTTTTTGCCCATAGGAATGCATTGAAGGGGTTTCAATGCATTCCTATGGGCTTTTAAAAATCGCTTAGCGATGTTTCCAGTTAGCGGCGATTTTTGCTGCACCAATTAACATCACTAAGCGAGGCACCACTGTATTTGAACATTCATAAAACACTGCCCATTCATTAACATTGTTACCACAGCCTCAAGAAACACAAGTGAGCTATCCTACTTCCATCCCAAACCCCTTTCCTACAATGAAAGCAAAGATTTAGGATGATAAAAAAAAAATTGCCCATTCATTAACATTGTTACCACAGTCTCAAGAAACACAAGCGAGCTATCCTACTTCCATCCTGCAATGAAAGCAAAGATTTAGGATGATAAAAAAATCTTCAACCAATCAAAACTTTGGATTGTCTTGATTCAAATCCTAGGGAAATAAATGAAGTTTCCTAGTATTCTGCGTCAAAGCTGCCATCAGTGGCCAGTTCTTGAAGGAGGTTCAAAACCTGAACAGGTATACAGCCAGGATAAGGTATCATTCAGAAGCACTCATTTTATTAGAAATTTTCCTTTTCATACTCCAGTGCTTTTAAGTCTTCTAAAAATGAGACAGATATTCATCTTATAGCAATTTTTTATTTCTTAAGGCTACTGCTGTTACCATTTGCTTTCATATTGAAGAAAGGGAGTAGGGGCAAATCAAAACAAATGCAGCCAGAATGCAGAAAGATTTATCATTCCAACATTTGAAAAAGGTATGATTCAGCCTTCATCTATGGAAATAAGGTTCACAAACTAGTAACTGGAGTTGTTGGGTTTTACTTGTGTGAAAAGAAAAATGTCCAAAGTTGTTGTTATTCTAAGATTACGACCCATAGTATGATAGCTGCAACCAACACTATGCTGCTTGCTCCCTGATGCCTTCCTTTACCTCTTAAATACTTGTGCAAGTACTGTAGAGTTAAAGGCCCATTTCCTTTTTTACACAAGGTCAAAACTGGCCCTCCCCCCTTTTTTTTTTAGCAGAACAGCTTTTCTCTTGATAGGGGGACAAACACTCGCACAGCTTCAACAATGTGCAGAAGATCATGCAACAATGGGACACATTTTACGACAGGAAACTCTGGCCTAACTATAGCGTCAAATAAAACTGGGAAAATGTCACGGCCTCACTTGTGAACGAAATCCTGATGAGCAAGCTGCTGGGATCTGTAATGATTCCAATCAGGTCAGAGGCCGTATCACTGCCATCTGGAACTCTAGCGCTGGGAAACTGGCTGCAAGCACTTCCTGTGCTCCAGGCTCATGGCTGCAGAGCCCCTCTTTGGCATCCTGCTGCCACATTTCCCCCACTCCTAGCTCCTCCCCCCATTCCTGCAAAACATTTGGCTTCTGCTAAATAAGAGCAGAGCAGCAAAACAGCATCTTCCTTGTCCTGCTCTTTAACACCCGAGCCCAATCATTTTGATAATCAGGTCAGGTTATCTGTCAGTGGCAAGTGCCATATGGCATCTTGCCAGGCAACTGTAAGACATCTTGCTTGTCCAAAGAATAAATCAAGGGTAACAATGACACTTTTCCTGGAAGAGGATAATTTCCAGATTTGGGACTGTGAGCCCCGAGATGCTGGTTACGACAGAGACAGGAGCTCACAGACAGTCGGCCATGGTGGTGAAACTTATCTACCCACAAATGTTGCCAAGCAACCAGCTTTCTTCTATGCCTTTGTAAACACACTGTGCAAAAGCCAACCTGATGTGGCAGTCTATGGAGGGATGGGATTGGTTCCAAGTTATGCCAGAGATGCTCAGGGAATTCAGAGCCCTTTCTCTTTCTTCTTGGCCCTTCCTGGAGTGGGAGCTGTGGTACCCAGAGCGGAGCTGTTCATTGCACATTTCACCTCTCAGCACACCAAAAGGTGCCCATGATGTATCACACTGACTACAAGAATAAAGGAAAACTCTGGAATGGTAGAAGGCAAGGGTCACTGGAAAGGTATGATATATTTTGAGTACAGGGAAAACTAAGTACGGTCAAGAAGAACTCTCTACATTTTATTTTATTTATTTATTTAAAATAAAAATAAAATACATAAAACACACTGTGATTTCCCAATAAACAGTTTTGGAATACTGTATAGCTCTATTTTTGTGCAGAACTTAATGGTACTAATCTGTTAAGTAACAGCTGAATTCTGGACGCTCACAGTTATAGTTCTGTTCCTTATAACCGATTTATATGTTTAAAAACTGTTTCTTTTCAATGCAAAAAACAAAAAAACAAAAACAAAACCCAGCAGGTCCTCCAGCTCCAGGAAAAAGAAAAAAATTGCCATGTGAGGACTTGAATCCTGAAAGAACTTATCTACCAGAGAAAGAATGGGAAGGCAGTCTCAAGACCCAGAAATCAGGAAAGGGCACTCACAGTTTTGTCTTCTCACTCTCTCCATAGTGCCACCCGTCTCTGGCCTCAGGCACTAGCAACGTAATGAGGTCTCCCTCCTTGAAGCTGAGAAGGGTGCTGTTATCCCCAGCCGCGTGAGAGAAGATGGCTCGTACCCTAGTCCTGCCATTCTTCTCCAGCCCTGCAGCCATGGAGCTGGAACGAGGCAGGGTCTTGTTCTCAGCTGACACCGGAAAAGGAAGGAAGGATGTAAAAAGAAAGCACACACCCAAGTTATCAGGACTGTCTCTGACTCTGGAAGGTTTTCCTAAAACTTCAGCATGGTGGGTGGGAGGAGGGGGGAGAGACTCAAAGACTTACAAAAATTAAACTCATAGTTGCCCTTTCTTTTTACCTGTAAGTACAAATGATTAAGCGTGCTTCTCAACAGACAATTTCTAATGCTATCATTTAAGAATAGCATTATGCAGCTGTCTTTCCCTCCTTAAACACACACACAATAAAAAAGACAAATGGAGGCAGATGTGGTAGGGTTTCAATGTCTGGACCTTCATAAAATTCTTGAGTTTGAGGAATGGCAATGGCTCCCTCCTGCAACCAAGCTTAAGCTTTCCTGCTGATACTGGTCTCACCATTTCCCATTAACAAAGGTTCCTCCACCGTTATATTTTGTGTGCTCTGGAAGCCATTTTGCTAACAGGCTTGCTGTCTTATTAAATGCAAGCTACAGAGGGAATGAATATTCAGAAAAAAGCTTAATTTTCCTCTTCCATATTTTTTTCACGGAGCTTTAAACAAAAATCGTTAATCTCCTCTGCTCAGTGTACTGCTCTTCCACCCATCAGGTTCCTGATTTTGTAGGCTCTGGGAAGCAGCTGTGGAGTGGGGGGGGGGAGATCTCCATTGTGCCAGGACACAACTGCTGCTGACAGCCACCCTTCATCCAGTTACCAACTGCAACTCTACAGGGTCTCCCTGCAATTCCTCTCTGAGCTGAGCAGTTAGTGGGTAACAGAAGAAAGCCAGCTACAAGTCTGGGACCCGTACGCATCGCAGTAGCATGCATGGAAGAAGCACTATTAGCCTGTACAGCAGATTAGGACAGCATTCCACATCTCGCCTCTGGCTTCTGGATTATGACAGCCAGCAGTGGCAGAGGGGGATACCTCTGCCTCTTTCCATCAATGGTGTTCCAGCAACCTGCCTGCATCCTCTCCACCCAGCTGATCACTAAAAGCACTGAATCTTATTTCTAACGCCTCAAATTTAGATTGTATGCCTGAGGCTGCTATGAAGGGACTTGGGGACTAGCAGTGTACTTCTCCAGGAAGCCACTCTAGGAACCTTTTAGACTAAAGGATGAGCCATACATTTACTGGAAGAAAGCTATTTCAATGAAAAACTTGCACCTCAGTAAAAGGACTGCTCTCTGTTAAGTGCACAGTAGCAGGAGTCTTGGGGAAGAGTGGGCTCACAAGACAAGCATCTCTTTGCAATCCTATTTATAGTGACTGGTACAACCGGGATCCAAATATTTACTAAGAGTGCTGCAGTTTAGGCAAGAGACGAGTGATCTTACTCTGCAACAGGAGGAAAAGGTTATGGCATTGGACTAGAGTGATGGGTTCCTCTACCCTGTCATCAGCGCCTCACTTACAGGCCATGACATAAAGGCCAGCATCTCCAACAGCAATTGACGTTTGCTGTAAGATGAGACTTCGCAGTGCCCCACATCTGTATGGGCATTCTGCCTGGAAACTCACTCACTGTTTTCTTTCCCTGTTCTCTTTCATTGGCATTACCCACCAATTAGAAGCTATCAGACATGATGAATGAAACTGCAAATATGAGCATTACAGGGAGCATGTTTTGCACAACAGACGAAGCAACAGCATAGGAAAATACAGTACCTCATAGTGAGGAAGGAACTATCAGGTCTAGTTCATTGCAACTTCTTACCAGCTGAGATTACATGCTGATTATGCCAACAATTTCTTAGTTATCATAGGCTTAACTGTTTTATCATTTTTTTCTAACAGAAATTCCTCCTTCTGGCAATGCTATCATAAGGAGCAGTTATAAAAAGGTAAAGGTTCTCCTTTACAATTTTGTCCAATCGTGTTTGACTCTAGGTGGCAGTGCTCATCTCCGTTTCCAATCCATAGAGCTAGCGTTTGTCCAAAGACAATCCTCCGTGGTCATGTGGCCAGAGCGACTAGACACGGAACGCTGTTTTACCTTCCCACCAAGGTGGTACCTATTTATCTACTTGCATTTTTGCATTTTGCATGCTTTTGGATCACTAGGTTGGCGGGAGCTGAGACAAGCTGCAGGTCTTCTGACCTTGCAGCACAGCGGCTTCAGCGGTTTAACCCACAGCGCCACCACGTCCCTATGGGAGCAGTTATAGTTGCAAATGAATGAATGAATGAATAAATGAATGAATGAACGAACGAATGAACGAACGAATACATATATAAAGTGGAAAATTTAAAAAATCCAGACAAAATTATTTCAATATTTTGCCCCACTATTGTTTTTAACAACAGCAATATTTACACCCCACCTTTCCACTAAAAGCTAGAGTTCAAAGTAGCTGAGAAACTTTTTGAAATAATTCAAAATGGATAAAACAAGCGGTAGTTAAAATCAATCAACCAACCAACCAACCAACCAACCAACCAACCAACCAACCAACCAACCAACCAACCAACCAACCAACCAAACAACCAAACAACCAAACAACCAAACAACCAACCAATTTATGATCTCTCTCCCACTTCAGCCATTCAGTGCTGTGGTTGTTCCAGTGGCTACTGCAGCCAACATCAGAAACATGTCTCACTATCGAAAAAGGGGAAGTTTGTTAGAAGTTTGCTCTCATACCCACTTCTCTTCTGTAAGACAGACTTACTGGCTGCATAGCTGTTTTTCGGCATGACGCTTTTGCGCACAGGGAGGGTGTTGGAGTAAGAATCGCTCAACTGCTTCTGAGTTTGAGGTGGGGATAAGGATTTAGGTTGAGGAGGCTTCCTGTCAGACCAGTGGTTGTAGTCTTCACCTTCTGAGCCTGAGACACCATTCATCACAGGTATGGTCTCTTGGGCAGACATTCGCTGAAGGAGGAAGTGGGGACAGAAAGTGCAGTCAGATTAAAGAACAGAGGACAGACACTACCAACTGGGAAAAAGAGATGCCTATAAAGAGAGCCCCTGCTGGCTCAATCCAAAGGCTTCCCTAGCTCAATATTCTCTCACACAGAGGCACACCAGTTGCCAAGGGGGAACCTGCCAGCAGGACAGGAGGGAACACCACTGCCTGCCTCATAGGCCCTAGCATTCTGATACAGAGAAGCAGACTCTCTCTAGTACTAGAAGTGATATATGAGCATCCTCCATCCTAAACACTGATAGCCTCTGTAAATCTACTCAATCCCTGTTTAAATCTATTCCCGACGATTATTTATTGGCAACCCTTTGCCTACAGTGATGAGAAACATCCATTTGCCCTATATTTCATCTGAGATGAAGCTCAACCCATCAAGCTGAAGCCGCTAGCTTGTTTGTAGTCTCCATTTTAGGACATTATTTTGACTCTGATCCTAACACTGCAATACATAGACAATATCTACTCAGGAAGCATTTGGACTATTCTTTCCCTCCCTCAGTCCTGCTAAATCTGAAAATGTGCACGTTTTTAATATTCTAGTAGTCCAATAAAAGTATTCCCTACCCTTGTTTGTGGAATTTATATTAAATTAAAGTTTGCTTCTTGCTAAAGTGTTGTATTTTGCAGGTGTGGGTAGAGATCTCTTATTTCAACCTCCTTGTGCCCAGGTTAGCATACACAAAAGACCTCTATTATTTTAACATGCCCTCCTGCTACAACAGCTAACCAGCCTCCCCACAGCATTCTCAATAAAGTTTTAAAATCAGACTGAACTAAATGCACTTTGAATTTCAGCAATAAAGATGGTTGCTGTGAATACTAAATAGCCTGTAATTGTTTAAGGGCAAATTCAAATATTTTAGCATAAGTAGCTTAGGTTCTTTCAGTTACACAGCTTTATTTTCACATTTACTTCAGCTTTTAAAGGTTAGTTTCAGTTTGGAAGATAGTTACGTACAGACGCTTGCAATTTTATTAGCAATACATGAGCTTTTCATTCCGTCTTTGCCTTTGTTTAACACATTGTGCTACATTAAAAAAAAAATAGCTTTTAAGAAATCTCAACCTTACATTATGAAAATATGTGCAGTCTATCTTCTGGCTTTAAAAAAAAAAACACATTCCAAAATGAGAAACAGGCTTTTTGTGGCACTCCTAAATCATAAATCATCTTTAACTCAGCACAAGATAATTCTAGTCACAGAATTCCAGGAAGAAAGAGGAACCATAGAACTCTACCATGACCTCATCCCGAAAGATATGCATATATGTAATACTCACTCCAACAAAAGGTGCCAGCTCTGGTGGGACAGGCAGTGGTTTGGCACCAGGGATGGGGTCTGAGATGATGAGGTTTGATTTGGATGTAGAGAGAGGGCTGGGCATAATGGTCCCATTACTGCTGAGGGCCATCTGCTGCATGAGCTGGATAGCACGATCTGGGATCTTGTTGGGATCAGCACAAGACTGCTGCCACACAGGAAGCTTCTGTGTCAGGATGTCTTTTCCCTGGAGTGAGAGAGAAGAGAGAGAGAGAGAGAGAGAGAGAGAGAGAGAGCAGGGAGTGAAAACACAAGGAGGCCCACAGATAATATTTCAGCCATAAAATATGCGAAAAATTATATGTTCATTTAAGTGGAACCATCACACTATATCAAATTGATGGGTATCTTCTGTGAATTTATGACAGTTCCCATTTTCAAGAGAAAGGAGATTTTTTAAACTATTATTTTTATATTTATTTCAATTTTAATTCAAATATTGACAAAAATAAACATCTAACAAACATTCAGCCATATAACAAAGAAACTAAAAGAAAGAAAATTACATATGCCGTGTTTCCCCACCCCTCGGAACTATCTGGGAGTACCTGCTTAGACCATATACCCTTGTGGAGCCCTGACAGATGAGTGACTGATGTATTTTGGTTTGTTGGTAACTTCTCTTGGATGGCTGCTCATTCCAAGGAGACTTATCTTGATACACATACACACACGCTCATACATACATTGGAATGTGCTCTGAGGTAGAGCACAGTATAAATTTAGTGGCAGTAGTTTACCCACAAACATAAGAGTTTTATTGCTTAGGAAATAGGACAATAAATAAAATTTATGTGATCCTATATAAGCTTCAAACAATGTAGATACCTGATAAAAGACATCAATATGTAGATTACACAACAGCTGATAGGCCAACTAAAGCACATGAAAACATTTACAGAGAACAGAGAGGATGATCGACAGACAACCACCACTAGTACATTTTGCAGCAGTCTGTGAAGGATGTAGCTGAGCGATATGGCTAGAGTGGGGTCAGGTCTCATTTCAGGTTCTTCTTCCAAAGACAACAAGTACCAATTAATTCTGCTGTTGTTTTAAGCCTGCGATAGTAAAATTTAATTAGATTTCCACATGGAATGCATATTCATCTGTTGCAGTCGAAACAATGAAGTCTCGTGGTGCCCAAAAGCCTAGCAAGGTTCATTTGGCATAAAGTTCTATGGATTATGGCACAATTTGCATCTGATGGAATGTGCTACGATCTTCAAAAACTTATGCAAATTTAAACCCATCTGTCTTTAAAGCATAATAGGATGCTTAATGTAATTTAAAGCAGTGAAAGTTCCAAAAAAATGAAAGAACAAGAGATGAAATTCTTAGAAGTGGGTGCACTGGGACCACGCAGCTTGCCCAAGGCCACACAGGCTGGTTCTTCTCCTGCAAGGCACAGTGGGAACCACACTCCCAGCCTCTGACTCTGAATTCAGGTGTGCTAACTGATTGAGCGATCCATTTTATACAAAATAAAAGAGGGAAAGGGAGGACGAGCAACTTGTGGCTGATCTGCTGGCATCAGAGGCCTTTCTTCCAATCCCTTATCTCACTGGACTGAGAAGGATTCTGTTTGGGGAGGTCTGACCTGAGTGGTCGTGGGACTGCCATCCTGCCCACCAACTAGTGTGCCCAGTGCTGGAGTTTTCTCTCCTGAAAGGAACACTGTCAGCACACCTTTAGTCCAGAGGAACAGGAGAGGGGGAGAAAGAGAGAGAAGCAGATGGAGGAATTCTCAGTACCCGTTCCTCATGCCGAAGGGGGCAGTGGTGGGGGAATGTGGCATGCTGGCAGAGGCCTTCAGCCAGTGCTCAACTAATCTCAATCACGGAAGGACTGGTATTCTGAGACTCTGTAACTGCCCAACATTGCTAAGTTTTAGGCTCTTACTTTTATTTCTGTAAGAAAAGAAGTAACTCTGGAATCCCTGCGGTAACTCAGAAATGTTGCAACAGGAAATGAAAAACTACTGCAGTGGGACTAATGGAATGACAAATTGCAGGCATGTCTCTAATGTTCCAGGTAAAGTGCAAATTGATGGCAAGGAGGGCATGAAGCTCATCTCTCTCGGGGAGCTAGTTTTTCAGCACAGATGAGGAGGAAAAGCTCCCACAAAAAAGTGTTCCACCTTTCCAGTTTTGCTAGCATCAAATATAACTATATGAGCATAAAAAGCATACCTTGCATTTCTGTGACTATTAGCAAAGAGTGTATGGGTGGACATTCTGCAGTGCACCAATACATAAGACAGGAAGCTCAGAAAGGTAGGGAATTCACACAACGAGGCAAAGACGGAGAGAAAGCCAAGAGGCAGAAAGGGACCTTCTTGTGCGTTCACAGTAGAACTACGTGGAACTGATCTCCGGGATGAGTGTCTAATGTAATGTACAGATGATTCTCCAAAGATGAAAAATGGTACACGGAGAAGTGCCAATGATGACTTGCACTCCTCCACCCCACCTGCTCTTCTGAGTGCAACCAGTTGAGAATGCTTGGCAGGTTTATCGGCTGAGCACTGATTGGGGCAAATGATAGTGTTGAGCGTGGGTCGATGCCGCACGCAAAGATATATTGTCTGTCCCACATGGCTGGTGCCCTTGATGACGCGTTGGAGGCTGAGGTGGTAGGCCTGTTGGGACGGAGTAGGGCACAGTATCTGGTTGCATTTCGACTCCTTGCATATCAGGCAAAGCAACCAAGGAGGGCTCGCTGGGAGAGCCAAATTGTTGAGAACTAGCCGAGGAGGATATAAGCTGCTCCACCCGCTCCTCCCATTCTGGTGAATGCACTAGATATGGTTGTTGAGATGAAAGTACTTCTTCATCCAAAGGTGAAACCACGCATATTAGATCCCCCGATTTTGGGAGCTGTAGAGAAGTAACCCTTGAGGATTTTGCCTTCGAAGATTTAGGTTTCTTCAGTGGCGAGGGTTCTTGAGCCGAAGGCGCATTGGTGGATGGCTTCTATTTGGTGGTTGTTTTTTTATGTCGATGGTTCCGGCATGGAATGTTTGGCTTTGTGCCCCTTAGTGAACGATGTTGAAGGGGCATCAGAGCGCGATGGCGTGGCAGAAGGGTGCTGTTTCACCATCTCTGAAATGGCTTTACCCATGGGCTTAGCCTGTGAGGTGGACTTACAGGCAGGCTGAGCCATAGATTTTGTAGGCTGGAGGGATTGTTCCCAAAGCTGAAGCTTAAGTCTAGAAAGATGACTGCAGAGAACTCCGTGTTTGAAATTCTCAAGGAGGTTCCAAATGCGACGGCGGCAAAAAGGAACTGATGTGAACGGGCGGGGGGAGCATGCGCGGTAGGGGACAACGTACTACTCATGTTTCTTATTTTAAGCTCCAGAATATTCTGAGGATCCAGCGCAATCACAGTTTAAACCGGTTGTGTGGATTCATAGACGCCATGTAGAAGAACCATGAAACTCAATACCTGACCTGTAGCCTTTCTCATTCCCACTCTCACCGTTAAGTGGCTCACAAAGTTGTTGTGATAATAAAAGGAAGAAGAGCTCAGTGGGAGGGAGGGCAGGAGGTACAAGGAATAATAATAATAAAAGGAAAGGTCTCTGCTTAATGACTTCTGAGACTACCGTAGAGCCTTCCAGGCAGTTCCATGCTTATTGCGATATGTTACATGACCACTAGTCATAAGGAATGTACAAGAGCATGGCTGTGTTGGGACATACAGTGCATGAGTAAGAAAAGACTACAAGGCACAAGAAAATGTGAACACTGAACAAACTTCAGAATATGTATTTCTCCTACGCGCCCGCTCCCCTTTGTCCATTCATGAATTTATGTACCCCTGCAGTTCTGAACAACAGAAGATGAGCCATCATGAATCTGACAGGCAACATTTCCTGCAGAGATAGAGAATACTATTTGCCTGCCAGTTCCTTGAAAACAGCAGCTATTCACATTTCCAAGGTAGAATTATAGGCCAACATTTTCAATCCTGCACTACTGCACTAAAAGGAAATCACATGGTAAGTGATTCTCATCTATAAGGAATTTGAAAGCTGATTTTTATGAGGCCGAACGAAATATGGACCTTATCCAGCTGTTTAACACCCATGTCCGAAAGGATGTCCACTGAACCTATTTTCCTGTGAGATGAATGGTCTGGCACAGCTCTGGGCTTACCTTGGAATGGTAGGCAAGGGCATTTTTGGCCACCGCACATTGCTTCTCCACCAAGAAACAGAACCGTCGCCTCTCTTCCGTGAGCGCTGTCTTGTAGCCGTCGGACACATAGTTCTCTAGCTCACCTTGCTTGTTGCTGATAGCTTCGATAAACTGGGAAGGGAAGAGAGAGCAGAGGTAAAACAATCTGAACCATGATTACAGAATCTTTCACCCAGAGTGGTCCCCTCACTTGCTCAGCTGTAGACACCACCGGTCTTGTCTCGCAACACATGAACTGCTGGGCAGCTCAGTGGTTTAGGTCTCTGGCTGTGGAGCCAGAGGTTGGGAGTTCAGTCTCCCACTGGGTCTCCTTGACAGGGAACGGACGCGACGCTCCATAGGGTTCCCTTCCAGCTCTGCAATTCTAAGATGATTATTATTATTACTACATGCATCTCTGTTCAGCCACTACAAGGAACATAATTCAAAGGCCCCCTCTGCCATGTACACAAGGTCCAAGATTTCAGTTCTTTTGTATAGCTCAGCTGAAGACTGGGCAGCAGGGGGCACTAGGCAACAGAGCATACAGAGACTCCACGGAGTATCTATCTGTTGCTCCCCCTCACCATGCATCCTTAGTCATCTGACCTCCCCCACACAAAAGCTCCTGACTCAGAACGTGGGCTTCAGATGTTGTGTGGGTGGCAGAAGAGCAAAGAGATTCTCTCAGCCTCCCTCCTACTTAGCCTGCACCTGGGTAGTGCTCGTTTTCTACTCCCAATTGTTGGAAACTGTCTCTGCTGTCTGCGCGAAGCTAAAGCACTTTAGCAGAGCTTTCACCCGGGTAAAGGAAGGGGGCTAGACACCATTGTCTCTTTAACAGGTGGCCCTGGACATGGGCTAGAATGAACTCTGTCATGCTCCTGGGGAAAACTAGGAGGGTTGTATGTGAACAAAAAGGGAGTTCTCCCCCCTACAGAACAATGAGCAAGGAATCTGTTCCTTACAATGTATTTTACCACCCACAAACTGCACCCCCCTCTTGTGGGAAAGGACAACAAGTAGCTGTCTGATGAAACTAGGGCCGTCCTACTTTGGGCCCATCATGAGAAGACAAGATTCTCTAAAAAAGGCAATAATGCTGGCCACAGGGTTCACTTTACAAGGGCTGAGCAGGACTGTTGAGGACAAGGACATGTTGGGGATTGCTCATTCCTAGGGTCGCCATAAGTCAGAAGCAACTTGGAGACACATAACAACAGCCTGAAGACTTCCACAGAGCTCCACATACTACTAGACCCACAAAGAAGACATCAAATTTTTATCCTCCAACCTCAGACTACAAACTATTATTTTCTGAGCGCTCACTCTCCCCATTGTGCCCCAAACCCCATACACATCCAACTCTTACAGCTCAAAGGACTGAAAGTGTTTCTTTCATTAATGGAAGTACTAATTAATTTATCTTTTTGAATTATGCAAAATGGACATTAGTTTCCTTGCCTATCTTCTAAGTAATGGTGAAGCAAGATAAACCTACTCCTGAGTAGGGGTGTGAATCTCACTGCCTCTTGGTCTCAGTGAGAAAAATATTCCATATTTCTTCTTGCAGAAACACTTCTCTGTCTGACCTTTTTTTCCCCTCTAAGAAATCTCACAGGATTTCTCAAACCTCAGGATTTCCCCCAGAAAAATACCTATTATTACCATTAGTGTGTACAATGGCTTTTCTTGTTCAGGATTCCTGAAAAAAGTACTGAATTGAACAGAATTTGTCTGATTCTGTCAACAAAGAAGGTCTAAGCAAGGAGTCTCAATGTACTGGGACTTGGAACATCTTTGAGAACATGGCCCTTTTCACGCATTATCTACGTACATTTCATGTCCTCTCTTGGTTTTACTCCTCATTTACTGCAGCTCTTGTTGATGTATCTCTCCCATATGCATGGCTTCTCCCATTTTGAGGAGACACTTGTTCAACAGGCTGAGGCAAAAAGGCAGTCCCGAAACCAGCAAAATCAGGGAGATTGTCTTCAGTGTGGAAGGGATTGTCACTCTTGAATTGGCCTTCTCAGCCACACTAGACGCTGTTCCATGTCCTCTATTCAGAGCATGTTACCATAGTCTCTCGAGACTGAAGGATGCTATTTGCATTGTTGATGTACATGGGGATCTAAGCCACGAGAACCATTTTCATTCCACAACGGACTGCAAGCTAAGCTACTGTTAATGGAAAATTTGCCTTTCACCAGTGTTGTGAAAAATACAGTCTTTTCCTTTGCAGTCTGGAATGAAAAAAACTCCACATATCTACTAGTGGCTGAACTCGGACAAGACAGAGGTCCTGAGGGTGGGTGCCCCCACTATCGGAGGTTTGGGGGACTCCCTCTCATTTGGGGGGGTGACCCTTGCCGCAAAGAACGGGGTCCGCAGCCTGGGGATGCATCTGGACCCGGTGCTCACTATGGAGTGTCAGGTGGCATCGGTGGTCTGCACCGCCTTTTCCCACCTCTGGCGGATAGCCCTGCTGCGCCCCTATCTCGATGTGGGGGCGCTCACCACCTTGGTCCATGCGCTCGTAATCTCGAGACTAGACCGCTGTAACGCGCTGTACGTGGGGCTACCTTTGAAGTTGACGCGGAAACTCCGAGTGGTGCAGAATGAGGTGGCCAGACTCCTTAGCGGAGTGAGAAAATTCAATCATATTTCTCCTATTTTGGCCGCACTGCATTGGCTGCCCATTCGGTTCCGCGTTGACTTTAAAATTCTGATGCTTACGTATAAAGCCCTAAACGGTTTAGGACCTCGATGCTTGGCGGAATGCTTACTCCCATCTAGTTCTACCCGTGTCACCCACGCGAGCCAGGAGGTGAGGCTGAGGAGCCTGACGCCGAGGGAGGCCCGGAAGGAAAGAACTAGAAACCGGGCCTTCTTGGCGGTGGCTCCTCACCTCTGGAATAACCTGCCTCCGGAGATTCGCGCTGCACCCTCGCTGGGTACTTTTAAGAACCAACTAAAAACATGGATGTATAGGCAGGCCTTCCCTTCCAGTTAATTCCTGACCTCTTTCCTTTTTCCCCCCTCTTTATTTGATTTATTTTGTATTTTTCCCATCTTGCAGAATCATTTAATTAATTAATTGTTATAAATTTTTCTTAAACTTCTTATGTTTTATGTTGTAAGCCACCCAGAGTGGTCGAAATAACTAGATAGGCAGGGTATAAATACAATCAATCAATCAATCAATCAATCAATCAATCAATCAATCAATCAATCAATCAATCAATCAATACCGTATAATACTTCATATAATCTACTGACTGTGGTTTCATGAATCTTTTGTTCTTTAGAATACCTCTTTGCTAGGGCTGCAATACTGAATTAATTAGCAAGAGTGATCAAAAACTTTTAATTCGTTAAAAAGGTTCCACATTGAAAGCGCACAGCAAAAGCAACAACAAACAAGGTGATATAAAGCAAGCTGCTAGCACCGTCTTAGAAGAAGCACCACACTAATCTAGAGAATAGAGAATGCTTTTTCTAAAATGACGCCTGTATGTAAACCGTTGCATATGAATTTGTTTTTATTTGTAAGCAGAACATGTGTAGGAACAATCCTGCAATGTAACTGATTAAAACTTTATATGACCGACAATTACAAATCCTTTAACTGGTGACAGCCAGTTTGTGGAGGCAACCAGGCATGAGCCTAAGAACAAAAACAGCTCCAGGCTTGCCTACTTTGACCACAAACACACCACAAATGCAATGTCAGATTCACTTCATAAAATCATGGAAGGCAATGACCTCCAGTGCCCCTTGCAGAAGCTGGAACACATATGGATTAGAAATAGGCAAATAATGGGCTTCCACTCTGCTTCCACACCTTATCATACCAGCCCAAACTTGCTTATTGTCCAGAACATACACTCCCACCCAGGTGCTGTTATAATATGCTAACATTTTATTTTCTATCAAAGAAAAGAAAAACCTTCCTTACAATGGTAAAGAATACACCCATAGCCTTGAGCAAATCATTTATGGATTCTTCACACATGGGTAATTCAGTAAATTGTGTCCCCTGTTGCATTATGTGCATAGATTCATATTTATCGCCAATCTTTCCGACAACTGTCTTTTTCCCTCATTGTTCCACTGTCTGCTGTCAAGGGGAAGAAAAGGAAGCACATTTTTGGGTGGTGGTGGCCTAATGAAGGTACTGCCACTGTACGGGGAGATACTACAGACAATACAGTTACCTGACTTTTTTAATTGCACTGGAATTGTTAGTAAAGTGAACAATCTTCACCACTGTTTCCCAGTTTATTAGTAAACTTGTTTAAGATAATTTTAATTTGAGCTATAGAAGAACACAGAGCAAGATCAAGGTGTAGGTGCCCAAAGCTACACTTAATATTTACTGATGGGTTTCACAGCAGAACCCACATACAGTTAAGCACTTTGAAATTCTATTTGTTTCACTGTCCCATATGTTAAGAAATCTCTGCAGACACTATGGGTTGCATACTAAATCACATTATCTGGCATGGAACAGATAATGCCAACAGAGATTTCTTAATTTATGGTCATTTGCATTTAAGAGTTACGTCATTTGTGTAACTGCTCAAGAGGATTTCAGCCACTGAGTCAATCCATCTAATATTTGGTATTCCTTTTCCCCCTCTGGCCTTCAAATTTTCCCAACGTTATATACTTTTCTGGTGACTTTGAAAACTTGTGATATGCTTGAAGAATAATAGCCTAAGGGTTGGATCAGAAAGAGAAACAGCTCGCATTTGGGACTACTTGTGGGACAAGTTGTGATGTATGGAAGTGAGAGCTGGACAATAAAGAAAGCTGACCGCTGAAGAATTGATGCCTTTGAATTGTGGTGCTGGAGGAGGCTCTTGAGAGTCCCCTGGACTGCAAGGAGAACAAACCTATCCATTCT